ACTGAGATGTTTATAGCTGTAACTCTCCAAAGCTTTCACAACTTGCTTAGAGGCAATTGTCTGCACTGTGAAATCAGCCATTAAACAAATGGAGTATTCAAACCCTGTTAGATTTCAGTGTATGGGTCAATGGGAATTATCACACAGCTATGTGTAAATGTAGCCTTAGTATCAGTCTTACTAGACTTGAAAGAAATCTTTTTCCATTGCCTTAACCCTTAAGAGTGGTTGGCATCAAATTTCTTCATACGGTGTGACTGCTGAATTAAGCATCAAGGTCTTGAGAATTGAGGTTCTGGAGTAGTAGCCAACTTAACCCTTTAACTCCCAAGATGGCATTAGTAATTCTCCTAACTGTCTGCCAAATGATGTTCACTTTAATTGGTAGTTTGGAGAATTTGGTGTTGGATAAATTAGGAATCCCATAATTGATATTTTTCTTTATTCTTGTCACTTTTTTGCATGATATTGTATGGATATAATAGGGCAAAATTTTGTCTTGGTCACTTACAGGAGTTAAAGGGTTAAGAGGCTCTAGATTATTACACAAACTCTGTTTCTTAGTTCCTAAGGAAACATTTAGATAACATTATTGAGAATATGAACACTGGACTCTTATAAGCTTAAGCCAGCAGATTTCTTTCTTGCTTGCTCGTTGACCAAAGCACATGTCAATCCGATTCTAAAGGGAAGCCTGAAATTCTAATTTCTCTTCATGTCATTTTATTTTTTTTCAATTCAGTTTCTTAATTGTATTGATTTTGATCTTTTTGGGTCTATATTTTGCAGGATTTCTTCCCTCCCAACAAACAAACTCAGGAAATGTTTGACAAGCATTTCAATGCAAATGGATTAGATAAGCTTGTGGCATTTCAGGTATGAAATTTTACAAGATGAATGTTATTATTTTGGTCATGTTTTTTGAATGACCTTAAACTGTGTACTTAATCTTCCATTGCTACATGTAATCCTGGAGATATTTTTCCCTTTTGGAAATGTTCTCCTTTCTGTCTCAAGGGTTTTAATGTGTTACTTGTAACTATTGTTAGTTCATCGCAAACAAAGCTGTGTACAGCATCATGGTTGCAAAATCTCTTAACAGTGATGATGGGTCAAAAGAGACACCCTCCCAAAGTACTTTAAAAAAATTCACTGGCCATTGTTTGTATATCCCAAAACTCTCACTGAGTTGTTAGCCCCCTTAACATAACAATGTTGTATGATAAATTATTTACTTCAATCAGCCCATGTACATGAAGGTGTGGTACATGATGTAGTTACCCAAATGTTAGTGGGAATTTGTGGGAATTAGAAGAGGCTGCCTCATCTGACAATCATTATTTTGTGGTGTTATCTATGTATGCCTCAGAATTCACACAAAAAAATTTTGATATATATTTTTTAATTTATTGTCCTCAGAAAGCACAGCAGACCCTGGGTACTCGCAGAAATTTTCAGCAGCAGCTGAAAGAGATGCTGGACAATGAAACACCAGTCAAGGAGGTAAGTTACACTGACAGTAGTTGGAGTTTATAATTGGGTTTGGAATATGTGTTCCTCCCTTCATCCCTTAACCCCTGAGCATGATAAGCATCTCATTTCTCCTAACAGTATCCCCCCTGAATCAAATATTAAGGTCATGAGAATAAAGGAAACAATCACCAACTAAAGAAGCTCTTGATTGTTAAACAAATTCTCCTTATCAGCACCTAGGGAAATGTATAGAGAACAGTATGGAGAATATTCATTCTGATGCTTAAGTTTAAACAAACTTTGAGCTGCTGGACATAGATCAATCTGTATTGACCATTTCACTTAACAACCAACCAATGAGAAATTTATTCTACCTACATGTTGCATTAATCTGAAAAATTAACACAGGAAAGAAAAACATCATCAGGAAGTGCTGCACGATTTAACAAAAACTTTTTAAAGCTAAAATTTGGCAAAATTATTAGAAATGTTTAACTTAATTTGCTTCCTCACCACTGGGGATTTTTTTCATTCAATGCCACCATCATGAACCAAGGTTGAAACAATTTCTCAATTGAACATTGGTTGAAAAAAAACCCAAGAATTTCAAATAATGAAGCTAGACTGGTAATTACATAAAATCTTCTCATCAGTTGCATCATATTTAACAATTGATTATTTTCTTAACAGATGATATCCACTTGTAAAGAAGAAATGAAGAAATATGAACTCACTGAAGATGATGTTGTGTTCCTGGTAAGGCAATTTTGTAGTTATGTTTCTGAAATTTAAATTACTATTGATACTGGGCAAAACTCTTTTAGAGGCAAAGAAAGAGTCATTCTAGAGTTTTCAAACTTTTTTCCTTTAAAGTATGGTCAGCTTGCCAAGGCAGGTTTTGAACTAGAATACTAGGCTTTGTCACTCTTTCAGATAAGATGTATAACCATTTTCTTAGTTAGATGACTGAGTTCAAACTAAACCATACTTATATTTCTTTTCCTTCCTTGGAATACTTTTATTTGCCAACAATACTGTACTTGGCACTTTGCACCTCTCTATTGCACCGACCAGCTTTAATCTCAATTTAACTCAAGCATAGAGCAAAGAAATGACAAACTTTTTGCACATAAAATCTAGGTTTGGAAATGTTTAATGCGTGCCGTGGAATGGAACAAGAAAGAAGAGCTTGTTGCAGATCAAGCTCTGCGTCACCTGAAGGTTAGCACTCTATGATTGGTACAAAAACTCAAATTACCCTTTGCAATGTTGGTAGCTAAGCAGTATCATGTACAAAACTTCAACGAATAACATTGCATAGGGGAAGGAGGGCAGCTTTTGTTTATTGCACTAACCAAAACTCAGAAATATATAGCACCCTTAAGGATAAAGCACTTGTTTCTTCTATGGCTGATAACAGAAATTTTGCATAGTGTAACTCAAACTCCACCATTTGTATGTTACTGGAACATTCGATATTGAAACAAACTAGTGATGCCTAGAACTGAAGTGTTGTGATGTTACTTTCCAGGTTTATGCTCCGTTGCTTGCATCTTTCACCTCACAAGCCAAGTCTGAGATCAATCTTTTGGTCAAGGTTCAGGTATTGACCCTTTACACCTTGACATCAGTATGCAAGTTCTCCATACTAGTCTCCTTTTTTTTCCTGTGGTGTTCACTAAGAGAATTTGTCTAGCAATCAAGAGCTTCTTGAGTTCACAATCATTCTCTTTATATTTATGACCTTAATGGTTGATTCAAGGGTAATACTGTTGGGAGAAAGTATCTCCCTTAGGGGTCAAAATTTGCAAATTGCACACAATGAAAGTCAATTCAGTTAGGATTTGCTTTAATTTAAGAGCAAATGTTTTCACATGGCAAACAAAGTAGTGCCAGATGTTTCTTACTATTGGTTCATACTTAGGCCATTTGATTCCATTCATTTCAGGAATACTGCTATGATAACATGAATTTCACAAAAGTGTTTCAAAAAATGGTGTTGCTGTTGTACAAAAGTGAGTGGGAATTAAAATATATATATATAATTATGTGGTTTACACAGGTTATTAGCTTGTTAAGTTTTAGCCTAACGCTTGTTCAGTCATGGAATACTAAAAACAAACTGGATATCAATTGTTACACTTAGCAAACCTTTTACAGGGTTTTACAGTGAAGCACACTGACCAAAAAGAAACTTCTTCATTTTATTAATCCAGAGCAACAAAATGCAGTCAATATCATTAAACAGAGATTGTTTTGAGCATACCTTTTGGGAACATAGAACTTTTAATTAGAAACCCCCTGAACTTAAAAGGCTGGCAATTTTAGAGCATAATTTAAGGACCAAATGAGAGAATCCCAAATCCAAAATGTCATATAAGGTTAATTCTCCATTTACTGCCCAGATTCCTATAATTGGCATTTCAAGAAATCTTTTCCTCCCTGATTTTTAGCTGATGTCCTAAGTGAAGATACCATCATCAAGTGGTACAAAGGAGGATACTCCCAGAAAGGAAAAACTGTTTTCCTTGAGCAGATGAAGAAAATGGTGGAATGGCTTCAGAGTGCAGAAGAAGGTATTTGGCAGTTGCATGTGGGCATAGTGTTTCAGCCTGATCATGTCTTTCTCCCTCCCTTTCCCTTTTTCCCCCCCTCCCTTCTTGGAAGTATAACACCTTGAGAAATGTGTGCTGGCAAGAGGTCTGCGATAGTGGGTCAAGCACTGATTGAAGGAGAAACACCCATCCTGCTGTACTTATAATGATAGCCTACTTGCATTCCATGACAGGGGCATCTTCTGATAACCCTTTCAGTAGTTAAGAGTTTAATAAATAGAGCAAAGTGAGTTGCTCTAAAAACAGATTTTCAGCATAATTTCAAATAAAGAACACCACTTAACAATGCCCTCCACCTCCCTTAACATTGGAGTCAAAAAATTTATTTTCCTATTAATTTTGGTCAACCTATTTATTTTTGGCCTTCTGTACAAAATTAGTGACCAAAAAAAATTCCTCCCCACAGTCTTGACACAGTTTAAATCAGAAAGGTGATTTGAGGAAAGAAAGGAAAAACAATAATCAATGGGAAATTGTTTCATGTAACAGCAAATTCTTACAACTAACATTTTAAGAAATGTTTGGCAGATCTTACAGAGAATTGGTCTTTAGATCTTGAGGGTGAAAGGCTTAATTAGAAGACAGTGCACCTAACTGAGTTAACTTTTTTCTGTTTTTAGAAACAGAGTCTGAAGAAGAGGAAGAGGATGGAGCCTAAAGCTTTGAGTGCTAATGTGTAAACTACTCAAACTGAGTTAAATGATAAATGCATTGTAGTGTGTATTAAATTGAAATAAATATTATACTCTTGCAAAAGTTCTATCATGGTCCATGTTTCATTTTAATAATGGCCTTGTTTCTGAGATCATAGTGAGAAGATATATTTTTATCAGAAAACTGTCGAGACTTTTGAGAAATATCTCTGAAATGTCACAATATTGTAATGAAAAAATTAAGCCAGTTTGTAAATTAGATATTTATTTTATCCAACACAAATTTTCAGATCAAACATAACATAATTGAGTTCCCTTTGGAGGGGTAATGATTTTATCTGAAACAGACTCTTTTGTATTCAACAGATAATTGCAGAATAGTACAATTCCTTTGCACCTGTACACTGTATGTAAGAAAACTTGAACTCTATCCATTCATAAAAATTACACAATCAAAATTTAGGTTCCTCTCTAAACTGCAGGAACATTCTTGACGAGGTGCTTTCCTGTATCTACCTCAGCTGGGAAGGCATGCAGCTTTCCACATACTTTCCATGTTCCATACTTGGTACTAGTCAAGGGACGTTCAAACACAACATAGTCTATGACTTGTTTAGGAAGCTTGTCACTCCCAGATATGTGCCTTCCATACCTATCTTTTACTGCCATGACCTAAAGGAGAAAAAAAAAGGCAAAATTTCACTGGTTGCCATTATGAAGCCAGGATAACGATCTATCATCACTCATAATTCCTAGTAAGAGCATTTCTGCAATGAGGAGTGACCAGGAGTGTATCTACATCTCCTCCTGGGTAAGATGACAGTCCATCACATCCCAAGGTACTTTTTTGGGTTTTAACCATTTCAACTCTCAAGGCTCATAAAGTAATTCAGTGTCTCCTCTCTCTTTATTGAGACAGAAGGATTTGTTCTTATATCAAAGAACACCCCTTTGCAGATAAGCTTTTCTTTTCTCACAACTTGTTTGCAAGATAACATTGGAATTGCAGGGAGACCCTAGCCCTTGGTTACTCATGGGGGTTGAAGAGGTAACCCTTCAACCCCTTAGAGTGACTAGCATCTAATTTCTCCTTACAATGTTACCCCTAAAGTATACATTAAGGTCATGAGAATAAAGGAAATGATCAGAAACTGAAGAAGCCTTTAATTGTTAAACAAATTCTATTTGTCAGCACCTTAGAAAATGTACAGAGAAAGGCATGGGGAATGTTAAGTTGTAAAGGGTTGAACAGCAATATCTTACCTGTTTTGAATGAATTTTCACAGTAATTTGTGCAAACAAGTTATCTTTGGTCTGAACCTGGCCAACTCTTACATGTACAACCTGAGGCCTTGTTACAGCTGAAACGAAACGCCAGTGAAGATTCTTGTTTGGAGGAAAGAACTCATTGCTAAGTGCCTGAAACAAAGTCAAGATTGCTGTAAATCTGTAAATTTCTACAACAAATTAAAATAGGTGTACCAAGAGTGAACACTCCACTTAACCCTTTAACCACTGTGAGTGATTGGTATCTAATTTCTCCCTACAGTATCACTGCTAAATCAAACATTAAGGTAATGAGAATAAGGGAAAATGATCACTAACTAGTAGGAGTAGCTCTTTATGGGTGAGCAAATTCTCCATGTCAGCATCATAGGAAATGTATAGAGAACAGTATGGAGTATATGGATGCCTACGTATGAGCTATCTGTGCAATATTGCTCCCTGCTTTTCACCTGTTCGCGCTTAAGATTTCAATGAAATTTCTCCTCAGAGTCTGCCAAATATTTCCCTTATTTTTTCATCCACCTTTAAAATAGTTGGTTTTTCATAACATCCTTACCCGGTATACTGAGTTGGTCACCACCTCCTGAAGATCCTTTTTGCTTTTTCTGCCAGAAGATATAAAAGAAACAAAAATGTACTCAGTGGATTGAAGCAGTAATAAGGGGAGGCAACTTTTGCACTTGTCGTAGGTTAACCCTCTCATACCTACGACCTTTTGAGTAATGATTTTAGATATATGGAATTCATATATTTGCACTGTGGTGAAGAAACAAAATTAAGAGATCCTCGCAACTAAGAACACCACTGAACTAGTAGTTGAAAATAGGACCTGAAAAAAACTCAGGCCTGTACAGGATTTGATCCCATGACCTCTGCAATACCAGTGCAGCGCTCTACCGACTGAGCTAACAAGCCAACTGGGAGCTGGTCAATGTGTTGGGTCCAAATAAACCATCCAAGTGATGAATGATGATTTTAGATATATGAAATTCATATATTTGCACTGTGGTGAAGAAAAGAAATTAAGAGATCCTTGCAGCTAAGAAAACTACTGAACTAGTAGTTGAAAATATCTCCTTGCTATATGCTGTACAATTCTTATGATGTTAGTGCAAATAATTTGGTTTTAGAGTAACTAATAATCCCCTTATTACCCTGAATACTAGTTTAAACCTTACAATTATTAGTTTGAATGTGAAATTTAAGACAGATTTTGCATTTCCTTTGCTGAACACTCACCTAGCAAGTGCTTCATTTGCTGCAATGTAGATTTCCTGAGCACTTGGGCCAAAGTCTGTTAATTTGAAGGGTTTTATATGTCTTCTAATGTAGACAAGACTATCAAAAGAAAAATTTGTTACCATTAAAAAGTGCTCATTTTATTATTTCATAACAAAACATGTCCATGCTTACTCAAAGAAGCCCACTGAAGTGTGTTTTTGACAACAGAACAAAAACTATGAAAACTAACTCGTTCTCTTAAAACCTAATAGTTATGCAATTTTCAAAGTGCGCCATGACTTTCTTGTACATGCTATGCCTTGCTCTTCCATACAAATAACTATTTATTCTTTGGCCCCTAGGAGTGACCAGCATATAATTTCTCTCTATGATATCACCCCTGAATCACACATTTAGGTAACATGGATGAAGGAAATAATCACCAATTAAAAAGGCTCTTGATTATTGAACAAATTCTCCTTATCAGCACCTTAGGAAATGTATAGAGGACAGTAAAGAGAATATGCACATGGATGTTAGGGTGTAAAGGGTTAATGATGGTGCCTAAGCCATGTATCTCCCTATCAGCAATATCATAATTGGCAAACTATCTATCACCTGTATATGGTCCAAAAACCATTCTTGAATGCATTCCATCTTTCTTTTATTCCCTTCAGCAAAAAAAAGAAATCCAGAAATAGACCTCTTTCATTATATGAATGGTACAAAAGTGTTTTGCAGATAAATCATGGAATAATTCTGCCTGCAAAATGATCCCCACTTTTCCTACTAAAGCCATAACTTAGTTTTTTACAAGGACCAAAATATGATAACTTAATAGTTTCCCTTACAACAGAGCAATCCATTATCTCATTGATTACTATAATTATAATATATTTTTTAATTCATTGGGATCTTTTTCGGTTCAAAACCCTAAAAAATTTGGATCATTTCACAGTCTGTTTGGGTGTTGTCCCAGGATTGGGGATGACTTCAGTGGTCAGGATCATTTTAATTGGTTGAGCAGAATGCATGAATGCAACATGGGGGACGGAGGCAACATGAGAGGAAATAACCACACCCAAGAACTCAACACTTTGAATTGTCTTTGGCTCATACCCAGACATTTAGAATCACAAGTCCAGACTGTCTCTGAGGGCACATTACTGATTGTGTTGGCTGAACACTATAAAGTGTTAATAATAACATAACACTATGACTTTTCCTTATGTTCTTCTTACCCGTGGTGTGAAAAAGTAATATCTTCTTATTGGAAGGTAGTCACTGAATATCACTCCTGCAAATAAATAAAAGGTAGTTCAGTAATTTTTAACTACATTTGTTTCCTTATTTCTACTGAAGCACACTTAAACAATTTTGGAGCTTTAAACTTTTCATTCATTTTACCCTTTAACTCCCATGAGTGACCAACACAGAATTTCTCCTTACAATATCAATACAGTATCAATCAGACAAGTAATGAGAATAAAGAAAAATATTAATTGGGGGATTATTGATTGATCCAATACCAAATTCTCGAAGCTAACATTAAAAGAACTGTATGGCAGACAGTAAGGAGAACTACTCATGAGATCTTGCAAGTTAAAAGGTTTGGCAGAGGGCCACAAGGTTAAATAACGTAAAAATGGTAGTCATAATCAAAATAACTATAATTATGTCACCTGGGCTTTCAATAAGATAGGGTCTATTCAAAGGTCTATTGACAGTCATTTTGTCAATATATTTCTGTCTGCTGCTGTTTGCTTCCTGCATCTTTTCCTTATGGCCCTTTCCATCATGAAATGGTGATTTTTTGCTGACCTTTGTTCTTGCTTGTATGACCAGAACTGAGGTAAACATTGATTCATGTACTTTGAAGATTGGTGCAAGACTGCATGACTGTGAAAAGAACCATTACAATCCATTAGGAAAGCTTTTAGGCAAAAGAAACGGGCCAACTTTTCTTGCCATAAATAATAAAAAGCTTAACTTCATTTATTCTCATTAATACAAAATTTGTTCAGATAATATAAGTTATTTCCATCAGTAAAAAAAAAATTACTAGGTGAGAGTAGAAGCCAGGGATGGTGTGGTAAGAGAAACTTGAGTTGTAACTATAGAATACAGGGCTGCCAATATCCACTTTGCCAGCAGTCTTCGCAGAATAAAGAATAACACAATATCAACTCGATCTAATAATTAAAAAAGATATAAATAAGTGGCCCTTTAATGTATAATTTTGCTGACTCCTCCATTGAAACTTCTGGATTCCCACTGTTCCTTGCGATGTTTTTGTTAGGGAGATACGTGACGTGGGGCGAGCTCAAACAAATTGGGGTTGACGTGACTCGGGGGCGATAGTGACAAGGCAATGGGGCGATGTGACCTCTGAACTGTCAGTATAGACCAAAAATGTGGCGGGGAAATTACATCATCCAAATCCTCAATATTGACAACAAAGAAAATCAGTTACTTGAAAAATATTAATAGGAAAACTGAGTTAGATTGTTAGATTATTCTTCAAAAAGGAGCGCAATCATGCTTATTTTTCCAAGTGGGCCCGTTTCACTGAAAAATAATCACGCTTTTATATTTTATAGAACTAAGCGACTAATACCACGATTCGAGAAAGCTGATCAGACTTACGATCAACAAACCTTAACTCTGGAACAGGCGAGAATCCTTGTAGCCGCCATGTTGGTTGCTCCGCCACCAGGCCTTTACAACTCTGAGCGTGCCATTTGGCTCGTCCCAGGCGTCTCCTGCACGTCAAGGCTGAAACGGAAAGTCACAGATGACGTCCCATGTGGGATAAATTTAGCTACATTATTAAGATAAATATCCGTCACCGGAGATTTGAACGATCAGTTCTAACAGAAGCGAAGTGTTACGGCTGTTTTAAATAACCCTTGTGATAAATTCTTATCAGTCAACGTTGCTCCGAGATTTGCGACGAAAACATTCCAATTTGCTAGGAAAATGGTTCTCTCTGCGATAACAAAAGCCCCAGAGGTGAGTGCAGGTATTGATTATGTAGCCGGGAGTTGCTCCTCCCTGAACGTGCAATTTTGCACGAGCCTATCACTTTGAAAGCATTTTAGCGATAAATATCGTTTAAGGAAAGTTTTTGCGAAGTTTCTGGGGTAGAATGTTTTTCATTATTTATTTCAATTTTGTTTTCATTTCATAAAAAAAAAAAAAAACTAAAAATTGACGAAAACAGGAAATCGATGTGAAAAACTGCTTTTTCGCAAAGATATAATTTGTCACAGGAAAAAGAACTGAGGGAAAATGAAATCTTCGACGAAACCTGAAATAATGAATATTGTCAGTTTACGAGAAACATATCAGTAAGACTTTCCAAACATAAAATTGAGAACATAGGCGAACGATCCATTCCTCCCTGAGAAACGGCCTTGGATTTAGGCCGGTTTCCATTTTAAAGCGGGTGGTAATGCCAAGATTTTTGAATAAGCAAGCAGTCTAATTTTAGAAACTTTTAAAAACATCCAATGGCATGTCTGATTATTTCAGATAAGAGAAGATTGTGAAATTGACGTGACATACCGCACGTTTCTTGTATCGGATTCCTGGAAACTGAGACATTTTACAGAGAGGATCCCAATTTCCTTGTTAATATTGGCATCAACTAAAAAATAACTTCTGCAAAAAATTGGGTCTTTACGGAGCTTTCATGGAAATATTTCTGTATAGCCTCCGATAGCACTTTAGCTACTTTTTGCAGATACGGAATTTGGTCGTGTTTTATATGTATTTTATGTAGCTCTATGGATTTATGGTTTCATTTATCATTTCATTTTCGTCATTTTCTTTTCAGGTAATCCCTCTCTTGGTGATTATGGGAACTGCGACTACTGGAGCTACGGCTTTTCTGATAAGACAAGCCACGAAAAACCCTGAGGCATGGTATGCGACTCTCATTTTTTTTATCCGAAACTGATCAATAGAGCACTTCCCAAGGTTTCGTCTGACGCTTGACGTGATGTATGGATTGCAACAGCTTTATTTTTCAATCATAACTGTTTTTTTTTTCTTTTTGACAGCTGGGACAAGAAAAACAACCCCCATCCTTGGCTTAATATCAAACCAGATGAACAAGTGAAGGTGAACAAGCAGAATTCTTGCAGTCTATTTTTATTTCAGTGGAAACGTCGGGAAAAAGTATTATCATAAAATTTACTTGCTTTAAATTAATGTCATGATAAAGATGAAACATCAAATCCTTGGTGAGTGATAACTGAGAGCCAAATTAAGAAATTAAAATTGTCCTGGATGATTTTCATCGGGAGAAAATGGAGTCGCGTTCTTTTGCTTTACAGCGCTGGTCTTATACTTACAGTCAAGAGAAAGTCCATTATTTTCTCTCGCTATATTTCAATATATTTATTAATTCGTGTATTTTTTTCATCATTCAACCGACAGCTTTACAAACCTTCACATCCCTCAGCCGCTGATGGAAAACGCTGAGAAGGTGATTGTGATGGCGAAAACAATACAAAGGTCCGCGAAAAACTACTATAAGTTTAATGTTGCAAGAAAAATTCAACCGTCCAAATAATGTATTATATATTTAAATTATGATAGTAATGTAGTATTTAATGGTAGGAACGTCCAAAAATATGCGAATGCAGCATGAAGATGCACGAGGGTCTCGATTGGGTCAGCTGTAAAACGGCTAAAAAATTTAGCCGTAAGGTGTAAATATTGACAAACTTCAACCATTAGTCTAGAGAAGAAAGTTCACCGTGAAAAAAAAATTTTGAGTGACAACAGTGGAAAGATACTAACCGTTAGCCGTGAATTGGCCAAAATTTTAACTGTTGGCCGTAAAAGCCGTCACTCCATTGAGACCCTCGTGTGTGATCACTTTCAGAGAAAAAAACTGTATCCTGTTGATTCCTACTGGAAACACTATTTCGAGATCGTTAAAAACTTAAATGAATGATGTGTCCAGTATTGGGCGTGTACGCGAATGTAAATATATCAGACCTAAGGCGACTAAAGTTTTATTAAATATTTATTTGCATTCTATCTTGTGTAATTTTCAATTCTTTTACTGCGAAGTATTTAGATTTGAATGACAGATCAAAACAACTGAGAAGCATATTTTTCATTCGATTCAGTTAACCTGCATGAAAGAAGGGGCTCGTTAAAGTTCATGCGAGTACACGACACCCTTTCCAGACGCATTGTCCAAGAATGTACAAAGAGCAATTAACGCGAACCAGAACGAGAATTGAGATGTCACTAATCATAATTCCTCGAGACCTTGGAATTCACTAGGGATATCGATATATAGTATAGGAAAGGAAGTTATTGGAAGAAACTTTTCGGTAGGTCTAAACGAACCTATGGCGATCTACAAATATCATCTGGTCATCAAAAAAAATATACATTTGCCCCATCAGGATAAGCACGCCTTAAGCTTGATGAAAAATTAGAAGAAAAAAAAAAGACTTAACACTCGGTTAGAATTACAACAATGTTAGGTTCACGCCAATGTTTTTTTTTTCGATGCCCGACATCTCATTGGATATCCAAACATAGCTTCTATTTACACGGATCACACCTTTGTAATTTTAATGAAAGGATGTTGGATGTTTTTTTCTTTACGTGATGTTTAGCATGGCTCTGGTGGTGAAACTGAAAAATACAAAATGTCGATATTGGTTTTTGAAATCCATTATGTGAGCGGTGAATCATTTCCTTTGTTTCCAGAGGCAAATATGGCTGATATTCACGCAAACTACCCAGCTGCGTAGAATGAGTATAATTCCGGGTAGGACGTGTGACGTCACACATGTCATTTTCAGTTTATTTTAGTTATTTATAACCCCTTTCAGTTCAGAATACAGGTGAAGTGTTTCGGACCACTTTGGCAGCGTTCCCTGCAAATTATCGCCTCACTAAGCTTGCAAAAGCGTTTTAATTGTTCCCTTTGAAGATCTAAAATGGTCCTTGCTTTGCTCAGAAAATCACCAGAGGTAAGGCTGGTCAGTTTTTATCAATTTTCAAACCATACACATTTGCGATTATCAGGAAATGTCGTTCCGTGCAATTCTACACGTACAAGAGGTCTTTCAAATGCGCTTATCGATAAGAGAAAAAGATGGGCTCAGGGATCATGCGGAATTCTTCTCGACGCTAAAGGAATTGGTCTTGCATTTTTTTTGTGAAACTGGTGGAAGAAACAGCCACAACAGCAGCAGATTTTTTCATCGCCACTGAAAATTTCGTAGTTTGCACTACGGGTGTGAATTCATTAATATGAAAATTTCATTCCACTGACAAAATGAATGTCGCGCAAAACGTTTCATTCGCAAAGCTTTACATCAAACAGATTTTAGTTTTTCCGCAGTCTCATCATATTCCAATGTTATTAAGAAAGTTACTGATTTAAAGAGGAAAATATTTTTTAAACGTTGAAAACCTTGCTGAAGATAATTAAAGGAACAACTTTATGTAGATTATCTTCTTAAAGCTAGCCAGACGGCTGGGCTTTGACATTTCATTTGAATTTTAAAACAACACTGCTAAATTATGTGAAAACGCAAAAAGCAATAAATGACAGTTTTACGACACAGCAAACCATTCACCAATTCTTTTGCTGTAAACAATTCTGATGAGCAGAAATTCAGTAGAGCTTCGTTGCACGGAAAGGGGTCAGGACCTGCGATTTACATCAGAACTGCTATGTAGAACATAGCAGTTCTGATGTAAGATTATACTTTACGTAAGACGTACTAGGTCGATAGCCGAAAAGCAACAAAAAATGGAATTCGTGTCAATTTAACTTACGAAGGATTCTCTGTTGCCAAGTGGCAAAAATTTGTTTAGTTTATTCCTTATTCCTAACTTCCTGTTCGCAGCTGACACCTCTATTCGTGATTATTGGCGCTGGCTGTGCTGGAGCTGTGGCTTTTACGATCAGACAGGCAACGAAAAACCCTGAGGCAAGGTATGTTTTAACTTAGAAAATTAAATGAGAAAAGTCGATTGATTATTGGGGCATGAAATGAAAAAGGTCCATTAAAAAAGTACGAAAAAACCCATTTCAAAGGCAACCTTGTATCTAAGCAGAAGTGTTCTACGGATTAAAACCTCTTTCGAAAAAATTTCAAACGCTTTCACAGTTGTTTCCATTCCTTTAGAGGATCAGGATAGAACGAGTTGATTCTAATATGTTGTGCTCTTGGTTCACTTTTCTCTGACGGGGTAACATATTTAACGTCAATTAATGCAATAATTTGTAATTGTCGCAGAGCAATGTAATTTGATGCTTATTTTGTCTCCTTGCATGAGGTGACGCATGTAATTTGGGACTCCTGATCAAATATCTGAACAGGAAGAAAAAAATACAATTCTCTTAGTCATAAATAATTTTCCTCCTTCAGCTCACGTACTTAATGTCTTCTTCGTCCAACTCACGACCGTACTGATCAATTTAAGTCTGAACATCAACTGAACAATTCTGTTTTCTCCAATGGTCTGCTTCTTAATTTGACTGACTCCATTATCATGCTAACTCAAAAGCAAAGATTATCTCTATGACAGTTAATTGTGACTCAATATGACTTAATCGTCACTCCAGTTGTCACGGACTTGCCTTGACTTTAATACTGAAGAGATTGAAGAGTCCAAAGGGATCTTGAAAGCGAAATTCGCTTGAAGTCTACAGTTTACCCCTCTTTTTGTCCTGATCGATCTCAGAGATCAAACTTCGTCGTACATGAGTGCAGATTGATTACTCTTTCATCTGTGGCATGTCACACGGCGTTTTGTTTTGACAGTCATTGTACACCTTCTCACTTGACTTCTTGATCGCTGATCAACTTGTGATTTACGGATGATGTAATTTTTCTTTTCTTCCTAAGATTCTAAACAAAAATTTTTTTCACTAAACTTCCTTATGATTTTGCAAAAGCAAAAACGAGTATTTTTTGTCAATCGAAAAAATGCCACATCGCCACATATTTACATAAAGCTTTGTCTATAATAAGTGTCTAATGAAATATTACTGAGGAATTGGGAAGATAGTTTTTTTTCCTAGATTCTTTCATTTCTTTCGAATATTATATAACAAAAGAGAGCAAGTTTTCTCTCGTGAGGGGTGCAGAACCTGTTAATTGCCCATCACGCTACTTCTGTGAAATTTTTCGATATTTTTCTCATGTCATGTCTACACGATAAGTTCCAAAATGATCTTTAGCTTTCAAACGGGAGCGTTACTTTGCAGGAGCTAGGCGCAAATGGTGAATTCGCTGGCAGGAGGGAAACATTTTATTGTCCAAATAAGAGGGGAGTAAGACATGAGAGCGGGTATAGGAAAGATCGACCTTGTAAGGGACGGTTTATATTGATGCAATTTGTAAGCAAAATTACCTCACTTCATGTAACAAACACCTCAGACCTGAATGCGCAACTCGGGTAACCAAATGTGTTTCAAGTTATTCTTGCAGGATAACCTGCGATCGGGTGTTTTTCTCCGTAACCAGCAGCGTCTAATTTGTCGGCGTTCTCGCCGCTGCGTTTTGCAGTCACACCGAAAAAGAAATGCATGTTTGAATATGTGTGTATTACCTTGCCTTTCCGATCTTCTCTCTGAACTAGCTTGGTGTCTTTTCTTTACAGCTGGGACAAGAAGAATAACCCTCATCCTTGGCTCAATGTCAAGCATGATGAACAACTCAAGGTGAGCATTTACAGTAGTTTTACAGTTTCCCATCTCGACAAAGTGTTTCTCAATTCTTAGAAAATGCCCTAAATGGGGAATCACAAAAATTTACAGAACCATATCATCAATTAAAAATTTTTTTTCAATTCTGCAGCTGAAACAAACATTTTAATTTTTCCAACAGCTTTACAGTCATACAGATTACTCAAAGCTTCAAAAAGCCCGACCAGATGCGGAAGTGTAATGAGCCTTGGAGTGTATGGAAAAGATTACCAGGGAGTCAGAATAAGGCCCACTGGGTTTGCATTTGATAAGAACTCTTTTAGTAAATTATCACATGATATTAGATACTTAACACCTAGCAAACACATGGTAGCTTCAAGAGATGTACTTTTCATTATAAATCTTAAGATGTTATTTTTCTTTGAACTGTTCTAACCAATCTACAAAAACATTAACATTTCAAATGAGATTCAAATATTGACATGACAAACATAGTTTGAAAGTCTTTAATCTGTATAAGCCCTTGCTCTTGGCTGAACTTTGAAAATAAATTTTTCATTTTGACGAAACATAGTTCTGTTAAATTTCCATTAAAAAAATGTGTGTTCCCATTAATGTTTAGACAAACACAACATATTCAATTTTACCTCCACAAGAAAACTCGTCAAATCCTTTTTTAAGTTCCTATATTGGTATCAGTACTGTGCTTGTTTCATTAAATATGCTTAACAAAAACTTTTAGATAAAAGTAAAAGACTAAAAACGTAAAGGTCTCCACCTTTGGAGAGTGCTCTCACATTTGAGGTGACTGGAAAAAAGGGAAAGTCTTCTGTGTTTGAAGTTTTTGACTGATAATTCATTGGACGAGTCTTGCCATTATAATTACTGAGTCCCTTCCTAAGGAGTTCCTTTCAACTGACGCTCTGCACACGAGTGGTATGCAGTAATCATGAACCAGAAACATACGTGAACACTTCATACTATTGTAGTTATAAGTCAGTTTGCACATTATGGTAGAACTCGACAATGAGATCTGTTACGTTATAAGCCATTTTGAACAACGTGCTCCGTGTGCAATACGCCTGCGTATTTAGTGGCCTTTTGGGGCGCTCTACATCTGAAAAAAAGGGCGGAGTTGCTGCGACGCTTTTTTCAAATTGCCAATTTTTTCGTCCTAAGCCTGGCACAGCTTCACCGGCGCTCGATTATCGCTTTTAAGTGCACAGAAAACCGCTAACTACGCAGGCACGTGCATGGCTACAGTACTGCTACTTAGATTTAAGCTCGCTTCATCATTCTATGCCATAGTTCTGTTGCCTGTGCAGACTGGCCAAGTTGATTTCTCTATATATATTTAAGGTAAAATAGTCCATGCCTTTTCTGAAAACATGTCGTGATTGCACTTCAGAATTTTAAGAAGAAAATAAAGCTAAATAAAAATACGTTATGTATATTTTCCTTGATTGCAGCATTGATAGTCTAGATTTTCTCAGTCTCTTTATTTGTTAATGTAGCTAAAGACTGTTCCCCTAAGAATTTCGCCGTATTGTACTCCGTAACTGTGACGCAATATTTTGCTTAGCCACCAAGCCTTTAAGGGTCCGGTTTCGTGCGAACGCCATCTTGGAAGAGCCTAAGCGAATCTAGCTTTAACATCGTTTTTCTACTGTTTCGACCAAGTAACGGCTAAAATGGTTTTTACTTATCTGAGAAAACACCCCGAGGTATGATTATGGTTTTAAGCTGGACTAAGTTATCCTAAAGTATTGGCTGGGTGTTTGTTTGATTGGGGTTAGTGTAAGGTTCATGTAGCTTCTAGAGTTGAGTTAATTTTAGAATGTGCGTATCGATACGTAGTTGAGCTTACCTCTGTATTTGTGCGATTCCTTCGTCACTTTGAACTTTCAAATAATGAACTACCGTTTTTTGTTAAAGAAACCTTTCAGGTCGTCATAAAAAAAGATATAAAAGCAATGCTAAGATTATTGTATTGTAATTAATATTGACAGTGACGTATTATGTATTGTGCTTATTTACTTGACAAAGAGCACGGGTAAAACTACTGAAACAAATGCAGAATCGAACCTCTGAAAAACGGAGGTAGATTGAGAATTCAAAAATGAGATATATATATATATATTTTTTTTTTTTTCAAATTAAGAAATGTTTTATGGTAAGGAAATGGAATGGTTTAAAAAATGTGATGGAGTGCTGAAAGTTTCTTATTTTATCTTTACCTTGAGCTCTGTGGATGGTAAGCTTTCTCTTTTGGGGTTAGGGATATCGTCTGAAACAGCTAAAAACAATCAGGAACTAAAGGACACTTAAAAAATTGCTGCAAAAAATTTTATCCCTGCAGATTTCATTTTTCAAAGGGTACCAAATGAAAATTGAGGATCTTTAACGCCTTAACTCCCAGAAGAGATTAATATTTACCTTTTCCCTGTAATATCCCTACATTATCCAGCAAACAGGTGATGAGAATACTCATACTAGCAAGTAGAAGTTGTTAAATTGCTTTTACAGCAAATTCTTTTCACTTATTTAAAAGGAAATGTATAGCAGCTTGAGGGAGATTTAACAATCAGATCAGTTATGTCCCTGGGCTAGAGTCCCTTTTGTCTTGGGTCGAAAATTAGCCATTGCAGTGTCTCTGTCATTTATCACTTTATCTTTTAATTTTTTTAGTTGGTTCCACTCTTTGTTGTGGTTGGTGCTGGTTGTGTTGGAGCTGGTTATTACTTAATGCGACTGGCTCTTAAAAACCCAGATGCAACGTATGTACATGAAAGATTAATAGACTTAAACAAGTGATTTAGATAATACCTTTGCACTGAGGGTAATCTTCCCCTACAAATGTGATCCTTGAGGCTTTAAGTCAATATATGATTGATAAGATAACTTGAATTCTTGCCCAAGACACCTGTCTGATGAGTCTATATTTGCTGTAAAAAAGAGATTAGCTTTATCCCCTTGTCTAGACCATCACTACTTTATAACCTTTTGTATCCAAGCTCAAAGCTCTGTTATTTTCATGTATTACTTTACCAGCAGAGATTTCTTTAACCCTTTAAACTCTTAGAGTGACCAGCATCTAATCTCTAATAACAATAATACTGCTCAATCAATCATTAAGATCATAAGGATAAAGGAAATGATTGCCAACCTGAGAAGCTTTGATTGTTAGACAAATTCTCCTCGAAAGCACCCAAGAAAATGTATAGAGAAGAGTATGGAGAGAATGGATACTGATGTTAGGGTGTAAATAGTTAAGTTAGAAATATAACTGAAACAAGTTCCAAATTTTCTTTTCGCAACTCATGATATGACCTTTTCAGCTTTTGAAAGTGTTGGATGTGTTTAGTGAGAAGTCTCCCCACAGAAAAATTTGTGTTAATAGGCAGATTTTTCAAAAGTTGTCTGTTAACAGAATTGTCTTTAAGTTGAATGTGACCAAAGGCGTTTCACAATGTCTCAAAGCAAGATAAATTTCTCAATACTTTGGACCTGAATTCCTACCTTAACCTAGTTTAGAAAGTCTTTCTGTGAGTCTGTTAGTGTTGACCTTTTTCACATTTTAGTATTATTATATTTTGAACTTGTTGTGTGGTTTACATGGTAGCTGGGACAGGAAGAACAATCCATATCCATGGCAAAAGATAAAGCATGACCAATGCTTGAAGGTTTGTTTGTTTGTTTTTTTTTTGTGGTGTATTTTTTCCACTCAGAGATAGTTTTTTTACAAAGCACAAATAAACCCCAATTACATTCAAGGCAAAAATAATCTGGTAACCTTACCTTGTATTATTTTTATTTTTGTAGTTTTACACCCATACTGACTACAGCAAGCTGGAAAATAAGAGACCAAACATTGATTGAAGGATGAGTGGTGTCAATTGACTGACAAAACCAGTGCCACTGCTGATGATTTGCAGCTTGCCTATCTTACTCGTAAATGCGGATACTTGATAAACATTACTATATTGTTTGTGTTGTTGCATGGTTATTCTTTCAATAAAATGGCTTCTTTCTTTAATGAGTACACAGAAAATTCTGTTGGATTATGGTAACTCATGAAACAGTCCAAAATTGTTTTCAGGAGTAAAGTCCCAAAAAAAAAGAATGGACAGAAAAACACACGTGGGTTATGCAAAAGGAATTATATGATAAGCTGGGTTTACAATAAGCTGAATCCTTTACAAACATTTTGATTGGCTTATGCCTATGATCGATTGTAGGAAAAATGCATAGATGACATCACCATTAACAACATTTTGCTTTTTTAACCAATAGATTCCATGTTGATGTGGGTCTGTAGAGTAACAGATTGCAGAAGATGTCAAAATGTGTTTAAAACATCTGTGACACACTTGGCTTTGCCTTAAGTGCCTCGTTTTTGTTCTCACCACATTTTGGCATTATTTGTGATCTATTACTGACAGACTGACTTTGTTTGTGGGTTGGTGTATATGAAATTAACAAAGCAAATTATGATTAAACTTAACCACCATAAACAACAACCTTTAGAAAAATCCAAGTAATAATTTTATTTGCAAAACTGTGCCACTGTATAGGAAAGTCCCTTTTAGCTTCAACTGGTAGTAGCTTATCTACACCAGTTACCCGAACCTTCTGTTGTATTTATCATGGGAAGAGAAATTAACCCCATATCCTCCCAATGGCTCTGTCTTGAAACATGGGTAGCTCCTTGCATCCTTGCAACTTTTCCTTGGAAACATTTTGATTGAGAAGAAATTCAGACAATGAAAGACAAAAAAAGGAAGAAAAAAATAGAAACAAGGATCTAAAAGAAAGATTGGTTATCCTGAGTTTTAATTGATTCAAAATTCTGATTTACATGTACATATATTTTGTGTGTATGTCTAAAATACGGGTTGAAATGCATGCCTTTAAAAAGATATTAAGGCTTGTGGGTTGGATGCAAAGGCTCTAAAATTTCAACTTTCCATCAGAGAAATCACAGGCTTATATAAACACAATGGACATGTTATGAAGAAGCTTTTTCCTTAAAGAAAATTTTCGGTTGTGTCCTCATGTACCAGTACACAAAGGAACGAAACATTAACGAACTGCAACACAACTCCATGTATGGATATGAAAACAATAGGAATTCTCCCGTGGTACACCAGGACAGCCCTAAATTTTCAGTCACTGTGATAAATATTTTTCTTTGTATAGTAATATATCAGAGAAATCCTAGGCTTATGTAAACACAAAAGACATGTTATGGAGAAGTTTTTTCGTTAAAGAAAATTTTCAGCCACTCTGATAAATATTTTTGTATAGTGATAAAAACAAACCAGTTTAAAGAAAACTGCAAACCAGGAAAAAATTTTGAACCATAACTGAAAACTTCATCTATTTATACAACCTGGGAGAAAAAGTCCCAATTGGCAGGGTACACCTCTCGTCAAAGTTAGAGGAGACAAGAGGCAGTGTGGGTATATCTTTACAAGTGCAAATGTTTGGAAGCCTCCTTAAAGCTCAAGCCACTTAATTCCCCCTTGTGCTTCAGTAGATACTTCTTGACCTTGGAACCAGAAGTCCGAGCGTACTGTCTTAGGGCCCATCCAATTGCCTTTCGGATGAAAAATTCTTCCTCGGCTGCCCTTAGATTGCAGAAGCGGAACAGCATCTCCTCGTCGGTTTCCTCTTTGTAAGAAAGCTGATGAAGTATGGCGGTTCTTCTGAGCCACATGTTTTCATGATTAATCCATTCTTCCATGATAACTTTTCCTAAATCTCGATGTTGCTTCACGAGTTGCCCAACCATCTTAGACGCTAGCGCATCGACAGTGTCCCACCAAGATTTGTTCGTGATCAAATCTTTCATGCACTGGATGTTCTCTTCAAAGTCTGTGGAAGATTCTAAGTGCTTCTCGAGATAATCGATTGCAAAGTACTGGAATTCTCGCTCTGGTTTTGTCCATAAAAGCCGCACGAAGTCTCTCGTGTCACCTGAGTTCAATTTTTCTTTCAATAATTCCTTACAAACGCTCTTCCTTACAGGGCTGCTGAGACCAAAAAACTCGAACTTATCCCTCAGGTATTTCTTCATGGGTTGACTTTTCTTGTGATCTGCATTCTTGTGCAGTTCGCGAGCTACTTTCTCTACCAAGGTTTTCACCTCGTTTCCCGCTGTTTGGTCGACATCTTCAACTTTCCCTCGCTTTTTCAACGATCCGGTTTTAGATGAAGCTCTTCTTTTACTCATTGCAGTGAAGTTATGTCTATGAAAAGTTGCAAATAAACACAAGTCAATTACCTTACGAAGTTCGTATCTCACAAAACAGATACTTTTGTGCATTTCATTACTTATACCACCCTTTCGAAAAAGTCACGATAGTCGGTGTATCAGTCACGCAATTACTCCTGACACTTCATGAGAGATATTTGAAGTCCGTTTTGTTTAGCGCATGGCACACTGGCATTACAATTTCCTCGTGGCCACGGAACGATGAATCGCTGATTGATTGAATGAATACGTTGTTTGTCTTCCGAAGGTTATTTTCGAAGACGCAATTTTTTGCAAGAAATCCAAGCCAAGGATATATCTTCGGGCTAGATAATCGCAGAAATATCTTTCAGCCTCTTAGATCGCTTGAGTGGGGTTTAGAACACTTCTCAAAGTCAATAATTTTTGTGGGAATAAAAACAATGTCTGCCGACAACGCCGAAAATTCAACCATTCTGGAGAATCTACGAAAATCCTTGAAGGAGCAGGTTTGTAGTGAGAGCTAGTCAATGTTTAGAAGGAAAATTTTGAATCACAGTACAGTTGTTCTGGTTGGGTACACATCTTTAGTAACGTAATGTTGTTCTATTTCCATATTTGACCATATTCGGAAATTTGAACGGAAGTAGATCCTTGGAAACACTGAAAGATGTTTATAGGTATTTGATTTGAATATTTAATTCTCAGTTTGGGTTCTTTCCAATTTTTTTGAAGCGTGATGAACTGATTTTGTGGATCTGAGCATCAAATTCTGATAAGCACTCAGTTCAGTGATATGTTACAAGTCTTGCTTATTGCATTATCCCCCCAAAAAATTTTCCTTCTCTTGATCCGACAGCTACTTCTCACTGATAGCCCACACATCTCTCTTCTTGTCGTTTGTGAGGAAGTGTGATTCTATGAAGGCATACTTACTAGTTGATTTGTAAACAAATTTGTGGAGGAACCATATCATTTCAAGCCATTTTTTATGCCAGTCAACTCTGGCTGTGTGAGATACTGTTTTGTAAATTGTAGTGTAAGTCTTTGTTCAGTTGCTGGCCCTTACTTTTATCCCCTCAGTCAGAAGAAGATGTTTGTTTTTATTCCTACTAGCTGACTTTCAATTTCTTGGAGTGTTCATCTCCCCCCATAGAATGCTATTAAATTCTCTAACCCTTTAACTCCCAAGATCTGACTGTTAATTCTCCCCTTTAGCTGCTATATATTTCCTTTTAAATAAGTTACGAGAATTTGGTGTCAGATGGAGATAACTTTGACCTGATAACTTTGAATATTCTCATGACCTGTTTGCTTGATAATGTTCAGTTATTATAGGGAGAAGTTACTTGTTAATCACTTCTGGGATTTAAAGGGTTAACAAGTAGATGGTTAGAAATATGTCACCAAACAGGTTATCTTTAAGCAAGGGAATTATCTTCATATAAAGCATGAAGCCAGATAAAGGTTGATTTAGTTTACAGCCTGTCATTAATTTATTTATTTTTCCCTCAAGACAAACAGAAAACTTGATTACAAACAATAGAGTAGGAGACAAGGGAGGTGAATGTGATGTATTTTTCTACAGCTAGGTCGATTTCCCTGTCAGATTACCTTGAACTACAAATTTATTTCAATTTCTTGCCATTTAAAGGATACTTATCCATTGCCAAACTCCAATTAGAGGGGTGTTTTACGCTGTAGGGGTATATCAGCTGATATTGTACCACCCACCTTCCCATTTGTGCTACATAATGTGTATTAGTACCTAATGAGGTTAGACAGAAATTACTGGTTTAATTATGCCTGGGTTAAAATTTGCCTGTGGATGCATCATACATTTTTGCAATTTGTCTCATGGTTTATTTATTTGCTCTAGGGTGACTTGGTAAGAAAACTAAAAGCTGAAAATGCTCCTGCACCAGACCTTGAAGTTGCCATCAAGGAGCTTAAAGTTAGGAAAAAGGCCTTTGAGACCAAGGTATGAGTACAACTTGAGAATTTATTTTTGAGTTTTTTTCTGATGTATCATTGACGTATTCATTGCTTACCTTGTCATAGAGTGACTAGCATCTTATTTCTTCTCATAGTATTACCCTGAATCACATATTAAGGTGATGAGAATATAGGAAGTGATCTCTGACTAAAGATATTATTGATTGTGAATGAAATTCTCCTTGTCAGCACCTTAGGAAATGTATAGAGAACAGTATGGAGAATATGCATGCTGATGTTAGGGCATAAAAATTGCTTTCTCCCTTTCCTATTTTCCAGTAGCTACTCTTGAGATAAACATGGATATTTTCTTTATAACTTCAATTTCTCCCATCATATTTCAATATATTTTGTTTTAGTTGTGAATGTTGTTTTAATTATTATTTAAACTGTGATCACTTTCTTATTCTCTTTATGCCTGAAAAATAAAAATGAAATCTCTTCCTTTCAGGAAAAAGAAATGGCACCCAAGCAAGAAAAATTTGAGAGATCAAAATTGGAGGACTTGCTAAAGAGGCGATTCTTTTTTGTCCCTTCATTTGAAATCTATGGAGGTAAGTTGACAATTCGACTGACAGCAGTGTTAAATATATCTGGAGACAAGATAACACAGAATTTCCATATATTCTTGAATAATGTTGTGAATACTATGAACTCTCACTTACACCTTGAAGATGGAATGAACTTTTAGTACAACTATTGATTAATAGCAGTGTTGATCTTGCTCTCAAGAAATCAGATGAAGCCCATAAAAAGTCATTTATATTACCTTTATACACAAAGACACTATTGTCAAGTATGTATGGGTGCTGATTTGTGAAGCTCTTTTGTCCAAATCTTGTACTCTTCCTCTGAGTTGATCTTGTTTGACAGTGATCTTGAGTTAAACTCCTCTGATGTGTTTTACTCCATTTTTTCATTTATCCTTAATAGGCACAGAGGTGCTAATAAAAGACACGAACAGTCTGAGTTAGCACTTTATCCTTTGACTCACATGAGTGATCAAAACAGAATTTCTCCTTGTAATATTAATGCAATATCAAACAGACAAGTGATAAGAATAAAGGAAAACGTCAATTAGGTGATTATTAGTTGATCCAACATCAAAGTCTCCAAACTGATAATACTACAAGTATCATGTGATGGCAGTAAGCAGAAACACTATTGAGGTCTAGGGGATGAAAAGTTAAACTTTCAGGAGTGACTAGGAAGGAATATCTTCTAAAAAATTTCAATACACTTTCAAGAAAAAAAGAAAATTAGGGAAATATAGATCCCAAGCTGGGGATATTGCTTGATTCAATACAAAATTCTCAAAATGAAAAAATGGTAAAGAATATACAACAGTGCTGAGAACCTTTTTTTTTTTATCATGGTGAAGAGAAAAGGTCAGTGGGGCTATTTCAAAATTATCTTTCTTTCTTTGCATGGCAGGTGTGGCAGGGTTGTATGATTATGGACCCTCTGGTTGTGCTATGGAAGCCAACATGATAAACATTTGGAAATCACATTTTGTTTTGGAAGAGCAAATGTTGGAAATAAGAGCTTCTCTTCTGACACCTCATTCAGTTCTTAAGTGAGTAAACTGTTGACGACAGTTAACAAAGTCTGAGATGAGTTGGGGTTTCTCAATATGTGTTATAATTTTTTCAAGTGTCTCTTACAGGTTTCTTGAAGTTGTGACCCTAGAATAAATGTTTTATGAACCTTTATTTCACCTACACAACTTCTTTATTTATATCACAACTTAACACAAACATGTACATTCTCCATACTGCTCTCTTTTTATTTCCCAAGGTGCTGACAAGGAGAATTTGTTTAACAATCAAAAGCTTCTTTAGTTGGTGATCATTTCCTTTATTCTGGTGGCTTTAATGTTTGATTCAGGGGTGATATTGTTAGGAGAAATTGGATGCTAATCACTCTTGAGGGGTCAAAGAGCTGAGTGTCTCTTACAGGTTTCATGAAGTTACAATCCTAAATAAATTTACTTTGGAACTGATTTCACCCACACAATTTCCTTATCAACTTAAAGTAATGAGGTAGTTTTGATTTTTTTTTCTATTTTTCTTGTTTTAGAACATCAGGGCATGTTGACAGGTTTGCTGATTTCATGGTGAAGGACGTCAAGACTGGGGATTGTTACAGAGCCGATCATCTATTGGAAGGTCTGCTTAGAGGGGGGAGCAATTACATAGATTTACATCTTAAATATAGCTAACAAATGGGGAGATAGAATGTATTAACTGTCAGCATGCAGGATTGTAGGTCAAGACGGCAAGGTTTGAGATCTGTGTGGGTCATTGCGATGTATTCTTGAGCAAGACACTTCCCTTTCACAATGCCACTCTCCACTCAGGAGTGTAAATGGGTATAAACTGGGTTAGATTTCGGCACTGTGGGACCACATGGCTCCAGTGCTGACTTATGTAAACAATTTTCTTTTAATGCGGTGCATAGATATCAATCACTTGTAAGGGGAAAAAACACTTTTTCTTGCATATTTTGTATCATATACTTCCTTCTGTCTCACATATTCTTCCTTCCTTCCCTCATATTTTGCATCTCATCCTTCCTTAACACTTCATGCTTCAGAAACTGGGATAGGCCTCTACACTGTAGGTGTTGACTTTTATAAACAAACTTCTTGTGCGAAGCTCTTTTTCTCAAATATTTTGCAACATATCCTTCCTTCCTTGAAACTTATTTTGTATCTCATCTTTCCTTGGCACCTCATGCTGCAGAAACTGGGATAGCCTTTGGCACTGTGGGGCTACATGACTTAAGTGCTGACTTTTGAAATGTAAATGTATTTCTTTTAATGTGGTGTATAGATGTCCATCACTCGTAAGGGGGAGAAGCTCTTTCTCGCATATTTTAAGTTTGATTGATTTCGGCTTCTTGTTTGTTTATTTATTGAAGGACACCTTGAAAAACTGTTAGCAGATAAAAAACTGGAGGAAGAGAAGAGACAAGAGTATGAAAGTGTTATTGGCCAGGTAATGTGATTTTTATAAAGATAAGTAAGTAGGGAATTCATTAAGGTGTTATTAATGTGATACAGAGCCTACAGAAGGTGTGAGATGTTTTTGAGCAGAGGCAAGCACCAAGGGGGTAAAGTCATATTGAGTGAGGTTGTCTTTTTTCTACTTAGGTAGATAACTATGGGATGAAAGAACTTGGGGAGCTTTTGAAAAAGTACAACACCAAGTCTCCAGTAACAGGGAATGATCTGACTGATCCTGTGGAATTCAATTTAATGTTTTCAACCTCAATTGGTCCAAGTGGGCTCATCCCTGGGTAAGAGTCATCTTAGCATGGGGTGATTACTTTTTTTCTAATCTTTGAAATTACGTACAAGGTACAGCTCCATGTAATACAGTTTAAATACTACTTATAATACTACAGCAAATATGAATACTAACACTACCTACAAAAAAACTTATTACTTAACAATTGCAGATTTAAAAGTTACAGTCTCATTGTACAGACATGTAAATTATCTGTATTTAAAAAAACATATTACAGTAAAGTAATTAATATCATTAACTACAAAAGCTAAAGGAAAAAAACACTAAATGTGAAAAAAAAAAAAGAAAAATATGCAACTACATGGCTTTTTTCTAAAAAGAGAGAGGAAAGAGGCTCAAGAGACAATTTACGAGACATTAATAGAGATTATGAAGAAAGAGGAAAACTGTGAACTGGGGGCCCTATTCAGACGGTCCAGATCTCTTTCAATACACGTTTTTATTTTGGGATTGCTTTTGTCTCTGCATCTGATCGGTTAAAATGGTGTTGTGGAATTTGTCAGACCAAACGTAGAACGTGGTGAAGTAAAATCTATTTCGGATTTCTTTTGATACCCAATTGAAAATGTCTTCTATGGTTTGTTCTTATTTGAAAAGCTTCCTTAGACCAGAAACAGCTCAAGGAATCTTTGTGAATTTCAAACGCCTCTTGGAAGCTAATAATGGAAGACTACCATTCGCCTCAGCACAGATTGGACCTGCCTTTAGAAATGAAATATCACCTCGATCGGGTCTTCTGAGAGTAAGGTAAAGAACTTTAAGTACATCTGTTCAGGTGATTGTCCTTAACCCTTTATCTCACAGAGGTGATTAACAGTAATTTCTCCTTGTAACATCCACACAATGAGACATGGTTTGATGCAACTTTGGTTTACAGATTTAATGAATGTAACCGAAGAAGTTATAGTTCATAGACCCAACGTTTCAACATTCCTGTCTAGTGCCTTCATCAGGGGTGATCTAAACGCTGCCACAAGAGGTCCTTAAAATGTCTAGCAAACACATAATGGGAGTATCAGGAGGAAGTTGTTTTCTCGATCAAACACCAAATTCTTGAAACAAATTTGCAAGGCAATGTGTAGAATCTAGAGAGGAGAATTAACAATCAGATCTTGGTAGTGAAAGGGTTAATAACGAAGTAAGAATAGTTTAAGATCACAATACTACACTCGCTCGCAGAAAGTAATAAACTGCAATGCTTTAAATGGTCAATCGTTCCCTTTGATACAAATTTTAACCTCAGCAATGACCTTCCTGCGTTTATCCAAAATGCCACTCCCTTTGTTAATTGAAGTTACAGTTTTAGTTTCAGCGTAAGACTGGAGTGATTCATTTTGCGATTATCTCTTACAATACTGAATGGCTTAGGACCTCAGTTGAAAACTTCTGCTGAACTCTTGGACCTCCTGTTTGACTTAGTAGGTTAGCCACTTTTCCATCATCCAATCTGACTGCTCTGGACCCTCTTTTAACATTCTGTTAAGGTCGCGAGAATAAAGGACGTGATCAACTACCTCAAGAGCTCTTGATTATTACAAAAAATTCTCATTTTAAAGACCTTACGAAATGTATAGAGAACAGTATGGAGAATATGCATACTGATGTTAGGTTGTATAGGGGTTAAGGATGTCTTTTATGATTAATAAGTCATTTTGTCAATCAACCCAGTAATGAGGTTAAAAAATGTATAATATTCATCATCATCATCATGGTTTGCTTCTACTTTTTTTTATGTAGAGAATTCACCCTGGCTGAAATCGAACACTTTGTTGATCCAAGCGACAAGAGTCATCCCAAGTTTGAAAATGTGAGCTCTCAAACACTGAGGTTGTTTCCATCAGAACATCAGATTGAGGGAAAACCGCCACTGGAGATCACTGTAGGAGATGCTGTCAATCAGGTGAGCGGTTCATTGCCTCCGAGCAAGAATGCTTTTTTCTTTCTTTTATTTGTAGATGCATGGTTGTTTTTGCGATGTAATGCTTTGTAATAAATCACTCGAGTTAGATTTCGGATTCGCTGGGCGGCTGCTCGAAATGTTTGTTTTCAACCGCCACCTCTTCATTCTCCGCTTTTTGCCCTTGTACTGAGGACAGTTCTTGTACTAAAACATGTTTGATTTGTCATCAGAAAATTGTTAGTTCCCAGACCATGGGTTACTTTCTCGGCCGCGTGTTCCTCTTCTTGCTGAAGGTTGGGGCTGATCCAAATAAGATCCGCTTCAGGCAGCACATGTTCAATGAAATGGCGCATTACGCTTGTGACTGCTGGGACGCTGAACTCCTCACCTCCTATGTAAGTAGTGCATACTTTTTCTTGCTCTCAGGTTACGTAACTCACAGTAGGGTATACATGTACATTATAGACCGGTAATTGAGCAATTTTCAATTGAGTGTCGTCAAAAGTAATTCGGGATTGCTTTGTTTTTGCTTTACTTCGCTACGTGATTGGTGCAGAAAACTCGATCCCTTCTCTCAACCAATCAGATGCAAAACTAAAACCAATCTCGACTTGGTCGCCCGCGTTTTCCTGTGCTAGGGTAGTGTGGTTGTTTTGGTCTCATCAACTCTTAAAGATATTTTCCTTTTTTTATGACTGGCCTTTGTGATTATTTTGGTTTTGGTTTGAGGACACTCGATCGAAATGCGCTCTTTAAGAAACGAATCGTGATCTGCTTTATTCTCTTTGGTCGACGATGACGCGCTCTTTCCTCCGCAAGGAGACGGATGCTGTCTGGTTCATGAACTGGCTTACGTGGAGCTAAGAAAAATGGCCCATTGTTTTCTAACGTTTCAACTGTAGACGAATAAACGATTGCGTGTTTTTGAGCGCAACAAGCGGAAATATGCTAAGTTAGTTGGCAAAACTGATGATTGAGTTGGTGTGCAGTAATTCAGGAAATAGCGAAGTTTTAAAAAGTTCGCAGTAATATTGTTGAACTAACGATGACGATTTTTCGTTTTTCCCCAGGGCTGGATAGAATGCGTTGGATGTGCTGACAGGGCCTGTTATGATCTGTCCGTTCACACAAAAGCAACCGGCGAGAGACTGGTCGCTCAAGTTGATTTGGAGCAATCGGTATCCTTAACTATTCAACACACTTTTATTCGCGTTCGGTAGTTACTTTGTACACGGAGGGCGTATCAGTCTCATTCGAATTCTGGTTTAACCGTCATTACCAGTTCTTTCGCGATTTTAAATTTTGCCTTTCTGACTTTTTTAGTTACATTCTAATATTGGCGCCCAAATGTCCTTAAAGGCGTTTTCTCCACTAGATTGTCGAAAGTAATACGGACCTTACTTTGCTCTGTAATTGGCTTAGAAAATTCGCGCCGTTCTATCATGAATTAGTCACTCACGTTTTTCCTGCTTCGAGCAGTTGTCTTGTTTTTACTTTTAGTTCTCATTGGCCCCTCGTGATGGTTTGCTTGGGTCTGATTGGTCGTTTTGATAACTTTTGGATTTGGTTTAGCACGTTTAAAGCGCGGGAAATGTGAGTGCTCGAGCTACGGTGGTTGTAGTTTTGCATTTGATTGGTCGGTAGAGTGGTGCGACTTTTCTGGACCAATTATAGAGCGAAATGGAGTAAAAGCAATGGATTCCTACTCTCCGAACTTGATTGAAAGTTGCTCCATCGATTGCAACAAGTTGGTGCTCGAAATTGAGTTAAAATTTTTCAACCTTGACTAACTGTGTAAAGGAAATGATTGACGTAGTGGAAATCGTCCCAGAGAAGCCAGCAGTTGGAAAAGCGTTTAAAAAGGAAGGGAAAATTGTCATGGACTATCTGGCTCAGATGGATAAGGATGCTATCAAAGCATTCGAGGATAAACTTAACGAAAACGGGTAGGTAAAAAGGAAATAAAACCACGGGGCTTCACTCGCTAAACGTTCTTTAATACAACCTGATACATTAGAGTGACTGAAGCAACAGCATGACATGTAAGATAAACAGGCGAATATCTTACTTCCTACCATCATTTCCGAGTTGTTTTTGTTTGTTTGTTTGTTTGTTTTTATTTTAACATATTTATCATTGTTTTCTTCAAAAGCACCAAGACTCAACGAGGGGGATTACAATATTACAAATATAAAATCAATTTATTCAGGCTCACACACAAACAGACACATAACCAACACACACAAGTTGCAATAACAACGAATTTAGGGAGTTACTACATCACGGGCGACGAGCGGGGATAGAAAAAACGACCCAAATATGAGCGGTCAGCGGTGAAACAGCTTTTATAATTCATATAGAGACATATAATTTGTTGTTCCAGAGACAATCGTGTTGTAAAGCCGAAATGTTAACAGTTTACTTCACAGTTTAAGCAATTTTTCAAAAGTGTTGATTGAACTCATATCTTTTACTGCTTAAATAAACAATGGAGGCTTCGGAGAGGGAGTCAGTGGCATTTGGAAAGGCACCAAGAATAATTATATATATGGTTTGTAGCTAGCTGCGTGACGCGCGTGACGAAAAAAAAGTATCATGATTTCCGGTTGTCAAAAATGTCAATCAAATTTGGCAGAAACTTGGTTTTCGCACTGTAGTTTGCTTTTCCTGGAAGATTTTGCCATGGATGAAGACCAAAAGCCAACAATGTTAAGAGATTTAGAGATCGACTTTTTGAAAGAACATCTCAATGGCTTTTCTGTTGAAGGCAATTATTGTTTTGGATATTTCGAGGGAAAGATAGATTTTCACGAGCGTCAATGGTGCAGAATCGTAACTTGATGGAGCCAACAGTGGACAACATCCCAGAATTCAAACTTTGTGATTTTTTTCTCGGCTTAAACGCTAAGTCAGTTGTTCAATTGAATAGGAAGAAAAACATTTCGAACGGAAAACAGCATTGTTTGCGCGTGTGGATCTTTTGAGAAAAGGTCTCCTAAACGAGTGGTCTTGATTGTAAATATTTAAGGAATGGTAAATACATTAGCCTTAACATGGCTGTTTCTCGAAGCTCAGTGTTTTCCTACTTGCCTTTTTTCCACATGAATTGTGGGCGATTGAATAGATAAAATATGCAGTAAAAGAACTTCAGCTGATAGAAATTTTAAATTTCTCATCTTAGGCTGTGGATACAAAATTCAAGTGAAAAGGAAGCCAACTGTGATTAATGCTTTGAACAAATCAAGATACGTTTTTTTCGTCACACAACAAGTTACATAACGTGAATATCATTCTTCTTGATGCCTTTCCCGATGCCTCCGTTGGTTAATAGAGCATTAAAAGTATTGTTCCAGTTAAAGCTTGAGGAAGATTGCTTAACTTTTTAAGTAGCGAAGTGTAACTTGGTAACATTTCGGCTTTACAACACGATTGTTTTCTGCAACTACAAAACGTACATTTAATTCTTCTTGGTACCTTTCGGATGCCACCGATGCCTTCATTGTTTATTAAAGCAGTAAAAGATATATGTACAATCAACACTTTTGAATTGCTTAACATTTTATTTAGCGAAGTAAACTGTTTACACTTCGGCTTTACAACACGATTGTTTCCTGATACTACAAATGATCTGTCTATATATGAAATATGAAAGTTGTTTCACCGCTGACCACTCGTATTTGAGTCGTTTTTTCTATCCCCGCTCGTCGCCCGTGATGTAATAACTCCCACGAATTTAACTCACTAACCCAGGAGCGTATTATTTAAACAATCAAACAATGGTCGATGACGGTTTTTGTTCATTTGAGTGGCAATATTTGAGTGGCAATATTAAGTTTAAGAGATTAAGATTTTTTGCTACAGGGTCCCTAGAAGGGTTGAGCTGAACGTTTCGTTTTTCTAAGTTTTTTGCGAGTCATTACGAAACGAAAAATCTGTCCGCGAATTCAACAGGTCATAGAAAAAACATCTTGTCCGCTCTTACCATTGAGCCCTTTACCCCTGAGATTGAGGAGCATCTATACCAAGAGTATAACCCATCAATCAAACGTTAAGGTCATGAAAATAATGGAAATAATCGCGACCCTAAGAAGCTTCTGATTGTTAGACAAATTCTCCTCATAAGAACCATAGATAACTTGTCGAAAACAGTATGGAGAATTGGCATACTGATGCTAGGACGTAAAGGGTTATGCATCATTTTGTGTGACCTGGTAACTTGCAAAATTGTATTAGTAAAAGGAAGTTTTGTGACATATCTGGTCTGATTTATTTTAATTGGCTTTTCATTCCGTTTTTACCCAGTAAGGTGAATTTAACAATAGAAAACAAGGAGTTTACCATTGAAAAGGCCATGATCAGGGAAATCAAACGATACCAGAAGGAAATTCATGGTGAGTTTAAAAGATGTTACCAAGGTCTGTTTACAAAATCTTATTTTCAGAGGAAATTACAGAAATCTAATCTGTTTTTGTGTTTTTTAGTTCGTGACGTAGAACCCCACGTGATCGAACCGTCGTTTGGAGTTGGAAGAATCATGTATTCTGTCCTTGAACACAACTTTAGAATTCGCGAAGGAGACGAGCAGAGGACGGTAATATTTTTATTGATTAGTTGTTTCTGGTCATTGTTTATCGCTTGCAGAAAGGAGGGTGGGGGATGGTTGGGAGGTTTTTGGTTGTGTCTGGTCTTTCCCTAAGGCTCTGTAATATTCGTATGTTCCTGCCCTTGTTAACAGTTAATTGACTGTCAATTTTCCATAGCCACCCCTCATGGCGGCGACTGACCTTTCCTCAGTTCCCCTAAAACACCATGTGATCCCCCCCACCCCAAAAGTCCTCCCCTTCCCCCACACAAGCGATAAATATGGAATGGTCTTTTCAGTGAAGCCATTAAGTCCATAATTTAGCTCATTGGTCTTTACTTAAGCTGGACATGTAACATTTTTTAGGCCCTGGTTTTTTTAAGTTAGACGATGGAACCCTCTCAGATGGGTAACCGTTTTCCACAGGGAGTTCACCACAAATGAGGTTTAGCAATAAGACTGGTATAACTGGGCGCAAATGTAACAATGAGCTCGTTTCTTTAACCCTTAACAACCTAACATCAGTATACATATTCTCCATACTGTTCTCTATACATTTCCTAAGGTGCTGACAAGGAGAATTTGTTTAGCAACCAAAAGCTGCTGTGGTGATTATTTTCTTTATTCTCGAGACCTTATTGCGTAATTCAGGGGTGATGTAATATTGTAGGAAGAAATTCGATGCAAGTCACTCGAAGGAAGTCAAAGGTTTAAACTCCACCCTATCATGAGGGTGTCAACCTCAACAATCATACAGCAAAGAATTTACCCCTTCCTACAGTGTTACGTTAAGCAACGAGGGTTCATGAAGTACTTTTCTTTTACGTCACCTGACCTCATGTTAATGAAACTCTGTAAACAGTAGCGAAGGGGCAGCCCTCTGGAAAATGTATCAAAGAGGTTTACCTTCATCCGTTGAGCACATGGCCACAGTCAGTGAGGAGGACTCTACAATAATCGCTTTTCAAAGGGCTGGAAATATAGACACGTGTTAACTCCCCAAAATGGTGACAAAACTCTCTAAAAAAAGTTTCTACTCGAATTAAATCTGTTCCATTTTTGCTCTCTGTAGTGGCTGTCCCTTCCTCCTGCAGTAGCGCCCGTCAAGTGTTCTGTACTTCCGCTCAGCAAGAACAAAGAATTTAGTCAGTTTGTCAAGAAGCTGTGTAAGTAGTTTACTTTAATGATTTTGAATCGGAATTATACTGTGGACAGTCCACCTCTTTTTTTGCTTCTTTTACGCCTAAATAATTCTCCATCACGCACAAGGCAGCCTAGACTGGAAAGTCTGGAGCGAAGAAAGCAATAAGGGTAGAGACTATGAGAGCCCTCCTTCCACTTTCACCAGTTTTGTAGAAAATCTCTTTCGTTTTTAAATTTCAAGTAACAATTTTTCTTTTACTCTCCCCCTTTTACTTTTCCTCCTTTGGGAGGAGATTTCTCAAATTAGCCAATCATGTCAAAGAACTCTAACCTTGACATTGGAAAACTGATGGGGACATTATTCGCATACTTCTAGTTTGTTTTCGCGGATTTTTAGCGAGTTGTTTTTGAGCTTCCGTTGGTGTTAATTTGTTAACCCTTTGCGTGGAAATTTAAGAAGTTTCGGAGTTTTTATTTTAGCCAAATGTTGTGGTTCAATTAAAAAGTTTGACACACATTTTCTACGGATTTTGAATTTAGCCTCTTTTTTTGTGAATGGACTTTTTTACAAGTTTGTCTTTCTCACTTTCATCTCCTTTTTTCACTTTTTTCCTCGCTCCAAGCCTCTCAAGATCTTACGAATCCAACATGGCGGCCTCAACATATCAGTAAAAATTATTTTTCGCGCTCGCTCGCCAAAAAATAGGCCCGTTATGCAGATAGCACAAACGAGCTCGTTCCAAGGGCTGTTTCTCGCCCTTACCCAAAGTATTAGAGAAAAGCCTAGAGGATGAGGCTGGCTGCGCACACAGTTGAAACCCAGCACGACTCAATTAATGGCGATGCAATACAACCCCAGCAGGAATTTCGAACCATTGAATCACCGTACCTAAATGTTTTGTGAAGTTATAGACGTTTATTTTTAAGCTAAAACTGTCGGTTTACTTGTTGTTTTAATTATGCTTTGTAGCGGAGTCTCTTACTGAGCTGGACATCTCTCACAAAGTGGATGACTCCAGCGGATCAATCGGTCGGCGTTACGCTCGAACCGACGAGATAGCCATTCCATTCGGTATCACTGTGGACTTTGATACAGTGAACAAGGAACCTCACAGTGCTACGCTAAGAGAGAGGAACTCTACACGCCAAATACGGGCGCAGGTGAGAGATGTACCACCGCCACAAAAAGGGCGATAGGGAACGTAAGCGTAACACACAGATGGGGATTTAGACCTTACTTCTCACCTCCCAGAAATGCTGATTAAAATGTGATCCGCCGTATAAACCTGGAAGAACACCAATAAACTGTGTTAAGAAAAAGAACAACATTTTTAACCTAAAACAAATCCTAAATAACATCCCCAAAAGATGAAAATATTTCTGGTTTTACTATCAAACAAAATATTTTCTGTTATTTCTTAGATTGACGAGTTACCCACTATTGTCAGCAACCTTGTCCGTGGAAAGGTCACGTGGTCAGTAATAGAGGCACAATATGGTCTGTTCGAAGGGCAGGAGACTGGTGCCAAGTAGGCGATTCACTAAGCAGCCCCTGCAGATTATACGAATTTGAAAACAGCCGAGGAAATTGAGTGATCCTACTACAACCTGCTCTAAAGCTAGTTGCGAGGCAATACTGCTGAAAAGCATGCACTCGATTTGTTACGTTTTTCGCGATTGTAGCAACACAGGCGTGGAAAGATAATAAAATATTTAAATGCTATGCGATTGGATTTTATCATTTCAGTTAGTACATTGCTCTCCTTGAGGGGTGCGCTGGTTACGAATACAAAATCAACTAAGAGAAAAAAGAAAAGAGATAGAGAGAGAGAGAGAGGGAGAGGGTGTGGCGCGAGTCTTTTGGATCAGTCACAAGGCGAAGTAAGGAATAACCCAAACAATCCCCGGATTACGTCCGACATCAAATTGAAAATTTCTCTATTTTCGGAGGTTAGTCTCCTAGCTTAATATTTTCTTGGAAAAAGCGTCATTCCATGTAAATAGCAGGAGTAAAGATCACTGATTTATTGACCATGCGAGCGTAGGCATCGTTTCCATCACAACAAAAATATTCAGGGGAAAGCGGGGGAAATCGGTCGTCGCCAACAGAGAATGAAGAGAGGACGAGAGAAAATAGACTACCACTTGGCTGCCAATGAGGGGAGGAGGGATTATAAGAATATTACAGAATCTGAGGGTGGGGAGAGGGGGGATCATGAAAATTTTATCGTGACAAAACCGAAATCTTCCTACCCCTTCCCTTCTCTCCTTCTTGGTCTCTGGTACCTATTTATATTTCCAGGGTTGAGAAAGGCTCTGCTATCGCTCTGACGAAGGGCTAACGCTCGAAACGTCAGCTTTTTTACCCTTTACGTTGGCTAATTTACGTTTTCAACCCAGTTGTTAACACTAAATTACCTGCTATACTCTCCCACCGACGCAGCACCACAGTTTCTTTAGAAACTTACCCCTTTCTGCAAGAGTCTGTTGTCTTGCCTGGGAAACAAGGTTTCAAGTTACAAATAGAATATTTCTTGAACTACATTTCTTTGCAGCCAACAAAAAGTATCCCTCAATAATTTGAATTTCGCCAAACCTTGTCCCGTTTTCCAGTCATCATCATGTTGTGTTGGTTGAAATCATTCTACCTTTGCCTCTCACTAACTTGACTGAGAGATTCTGCACAAAATAAATGAAAATTTAAGATGAAAAATGGCAAATATGTGGTAATTGCTATGTTCAGTAACTTTTCATAATCAAAAGACATTGATCTTCTTTTAGCCTCGCGCACTTATTGTTGGTTCTTTGAAATGGTCTGGTCCGTTTAGTCGGAAAGACAACAGAAAGAATTCGGCGCAACCTAACCGTTTGTGGTGCGCGCGCTGTAAAGAAATAAACTGAAAACCATGCGCACAGCTACCATAGCAACTAAAAATATTTGTTTTGCGAAAAGCGTTTAGAAGTATTTTTCATGGGAATGTGCTTTTCGAAAAGTTCAAATGTCATTATTCGAAAGATTTAGCGATGAAAACTGAGAGATTCCTTCAAAAAGCGTAAATCGGTTGACGTGAAGACTCAGGTTGAAAAAGTTGTTCCTATCATTAACCCCAAAAAGTCATTACTCGCTAGTAAGACAAAAATGTTTTTAAAGGAAGGAAATACCTCACCTTCCAGTTTAGCACTGTCTATAACCGTTTGAGAACAAAAATAAAAGTGGAAACGCTATTAGCGCAGCCACCCACTTCATCTCCGATTTGTCTCCAAACTATTTTTCCTCCATCACGTAATTGGGAAACTTGCGCTTGGCGCGAGTGAACGAGTGAAGTAAGAAATGACGTCACAATGATTCCTTATGACGCAGGTCGCGCGTCAGCCTCGCATGATGGTCGCTAAACTCGGTCCCATGCCCGACTTTAGAGAGTTCCATAGCGGAACGAAAACCTTATTTAGAAATTGGATCACTACTCTGCATTAAAACGTGAATTCATTCGCCACCCACATGGCCTCTGTGCCTCTGTGTTTTTTTTCTTTTTTCTTGTCTTTAAAACCAACACTCGCAATCTCAGCTTTTCAAAATCAATAGTTAATACGTTAGGAATAGACCAAAACTTGGATCGATTGCGGAAGAGTGAAGACAAATAGCTGATAAACCTCTGAGGTTCCATAATGAGGAAAGTCCCGAAAAGATTTTTGATATAGTTCGAGTAATTAAAATCCCATTATGACACGAATTTCCCTCAAAATTGATGATCGGACCGATTTTATTCACTACGTGTCGCGATCTCGCGGACAGGCGAGCTACCTTTGCAGGAATATAAAGATGCATGAGGAATATATATTATAATTTGCCCATTTCTATTTCCGTAGGCCTGTTGGTCTAGTGGCATGATTCTCGCTTAGGGTGCGAGAGGTCCCGGGTTCAACTCCCGGACAGGCCCCTTTTTCTTTCTTTTTACATAATAGTCTTTTTCTCTTGTCAAGGTTCAATCTTTTTTGTTTCTCCCTCACTTTGCACGATTTAAAGCTCTTGTTTGCGTTCGATCAGATGGAATACCTAACACCGATCGCTTTAGAATAAACCGAACGCAATCATGGTTATGAAAACTAAAACTTGTTAATCGAACAGAAATTTCTCAACTCTGGTCGCTAAGTATCTAAGCTCTAGTTAAGGATAATAATTTAATGGAACTTTTAGAGCGATTGTGTATAAATAAATATGTGATTTTATTTTTTTTTTCATTTACCACGGAGAAAAAAAACGATCCTCGTGGTCATGTTCAAGGGCAACCTATTAGGGACAACAGGTGGAGGTTGATACTGACAAAAAAGCATTGTAAAAAGTTGTGAAATTTGAAATTTCTCGAAAAAAAAGCGTGGAGATCGAGTGAGGAAGAGAGGATCGGAACGTCCGTTCTGTTCGCTCTAACCACCCCTCTCCCACCCTGGCATTGCCTTCGCCCAACACTACGAAAAGCCCGGCTACCCAGCTAGTAGTTTTCGCGCCACACATCGCGTAGGTAAGTTACGAATTAATTTGTTTCCTTACTTTTGTTTTTGAGTGGGTAAACGTTACAAAAACTCTACGTTACGTTTGTAGAAATATTTCAAACACCATAATTCTCCCGTTTGACAGTAGTGATACTCACTTCTCCAAACATCTGAGCTGCTTTGTTTAGCATGAAACACCTGGCTTGTTTGATCGTTCTTTTTTATTATACATATTTTTTTATTTATCATTTATTTATTTTTCATAAGAGAGAGTGATTGTCTTGGTTTCCACAAGCATTTCATCAACACGTGCAATTTCCAGCCCAAAGTTAGGGACAAAGTTGACGTGATCAGTAGTTGTCATGGTTTTTTATGTCTTCTTGATATCAGTCTGCAAAGGGGCAGAATCGAATTAAAACTATGAATAAACATCATGATTGATTATTTTGAACTTTTAGTTTTTGAGGTTCCATTCTGAAAAAAATTACAAGTGATGATAGAATTATGGTTGCCATTAGTCAAACTCTAGCACTGGAAGTAAACTGAAATTTTTTCAAATCTTTTGGCTTGTTACTGAAGTTCAAGTCTGATATTGTTTAGCTTGAAACAGACTTATCCTGCACATTGTCAGATTTTAACATGTCATTTGTTTTACATAAACACTTTTTCTAATGTAGATTACAAAACCTTGTGGGCCTAGGCAACAATTGTGTTACTAAACCCTTAAATTCTGTCATGTCAATTTTAAAACTCTAATTACTTGCCAGAGGCTTAGAAGTTTTATTCTTCATTTTAGGTTTGACAAGTTATTTGTCTCATATAAACAGTTTAATTTCAGATGCAGTTGAATTACTCCTGGAGATACATCAAAAACCTTGAATTTGTCCACTGGTAGAATATTTTAACAATGTATTGTCCTTGGTATATTTTGGAGGTTGGAGGCACACCATTATTATAAGTAACTTAAATTTTAACCTTTTAAATCCCATGAATAGTCAAGAAAATTTCTCCTTACAATATCAATACAATATCAAGCAGACAATAAAACAAGAATAAAGAAAAATGTCAATTAGGATTTTTAGATTATTAGTTGATTCAAAACCAAATCTCTGCACCAACATCATAAGAATTGTAATAACTAAGGTGGAAAGGTCGAATGGAGGATTACTAAAGGATCTTGAGAGTGAAAGGGTTTGGTCAGCTGCAAAATAATTATAGACACTTTGCATAAAGACAGGTATGATTATTATTGAAAGGTGATGTTATCCAGTGAATTACACAGGCATGCTAAGAGAAAAAGAATTCTGAGTGCTCCCAATAGGGATCTAAGCTACAACCTTTTGATAAGTACTCACCTTCTTTATTTCTATGATTATTTTTTTAAATGGATGCAAGTGAGCCCTCTTTGCAGCGCTTTTGGTAGAAAATACTGTTGTTTTTGAGTTGACAAGGCAGGAAGGATAATTTAAATGTGAAGAAAAGAATAACAGTTGACCAGCCTGCAACCATTTGGAGGCAGCTCATAAGAAGATTGCTGTGACTGTGCTTTCTTTTTACAAAATGCAAAATAATGTTACTGACATTGGCCAATAGAGTGATGATGACATTGATGATGATAATAATAATGATGAAGATAATTATAGTGATAATGAAAATAATAATGATGAAGATAATAATAGTGATTATGATAATAATAACGATGAAGATAATTATAGCGATAATGATTTCAACAAACACTACCTGAGCAATATTGACAGCAGTTACAATAACAGTAGATACTTATGGTTGGGATTCTGACAACGATGATGATAATGTCAATTTGTTCCTAATATCTTATATATTGCATCCAAAATCTGAATTTTTTAAAATTTATTAATGTACAAAATTAGTGCATAGATGTTAACACTGGTTTAGAATCCCCAATTTTTTTGTTAACTTATTGCTGACCCCCTGTATTGTGTTCCCTCGAGCGTCTCCAAACTTTTACAAATTTTTCTCCCTTTGAATATCTGCAATGCAGCTATTTACAGTGTTTTGATTGCATTAAACGTTTTCCCGTCTGGATTTGTTGTCAGGAAATGCTTTTCTACTGTAGCTGGTCAAAGTAATAATGAATGATTGAAAAAAATATATAATTAAAAGAATAGGAAGACGAAAGGAAAGACAGAAGTACTCAAAATATCTCAAAATAAAAAGGAAATCTGCGGGCCTGTCCGGGAGTCGAACCCGGGACCTCTCGCACCCAAAGCGAGAATCATGCCACTAGACCAACAGGCCGCACTTACTAAAGAGCAGTTAATTTGGGTAATTATACCTTTGGTATCAGGAAGGACTTGAAAGGCTGATGACGCAACATTAAATATAGATCTTTATCTTTACGAGTGAACTCCCCATGGTGGGAAGGAAACATGCACTTTTCTGTTATTTCTTAAATGGTGCTATTCTTGCAAAACGAGGAAAAAAAAAAAAAAAAACAGAACAAAAAACCAAAGAACGGGCCGAGGAACGTATCATGCCGTGTTGAGAGGTAAAGGCTCAGTTATGAATTTAAAGATATCTACTTCGCGAGACAGCTTGGTGGGTCTAATGTTGTTTAAATTGGCGAAGTACCGATCTTGTGAGCCACTCATTCTTAATGCCAGGGTGTCTCTTAGGGAACATTCGAACACATGCATCCCTCTCTTTCCCTGAGAATCATAACTGATAAACCGATGTTCATGCGAAGATTCTTTGATCGAACTAAAAAAACCGTCAGACTTTTGATTGCTTTCGATTCCCTTCGATAATTGATGAATCGTACTCCTGAACTTGAAAAAGTTCGATAGCTCGCCAGCGAAACAATGGAACGATTCAAGTTTCATCGATTTTTCGATTTCCTCCATTGTTCAGGTAAGGAGTAGACGTCAATCATCGTTCTTCACGATCCTCCATACGTCGTCTTTATCACGCTGAAGAGTTACTAGGATGTGGTGATGTTACAAGAATTAATATCCGAACGGGACTGCTGCCCAGGACTGCCGCCATTGTTGCCACAGAAAACTCGAACCTATCGCGTGACAAGGACTACGTTACTATTTTTTATTATTTCCATATAATTATTACACTGAATTGAGGCAAATTATGTATCACAGTTGAAGAGTGAAAATATCACCGTTGAAATTTGCGACTGTCCCCTTTTCTTTTGTTATTACTCTAGGGAAGCATTTTTCTATCGAGTAAAATTTTAAAAGCTAAAGGAGAGAACACTCAATTGCAAGGTGAAATTTTTTCAAACTGAAATACCCTAGTTTCGTACCCAGACCTACCATGGCAAACAGTTCAGTTGCAGTTACAAAAGGGTAGGAACTGGGTACGACATTAGAAATACTTAGCCTAGAATTATAGTAAACGAATTGATGAACATTAGGAAATCACCTGACGGCTTTTTTTTGCATCACTATAAATCTGTAAATTGCAATCCAACTGATGTCACTGAAATGTTAGTCACGTAAGGAAAAGTTATTCTTCAAATATAATTTTTTCACACAATTTATGATGTCTCGGCCTGTTGGTCTAGTGGTATGATTCTCGCTTCGGGTGCGAGAGGTCCCGGGTTCGACTCCCGGACAGGCCCTTGAAATGGAAAGAATATTTTTAATTTCCTTGATAAACTTAATTTTTTTGTATTAGCTTGTGCAGCTTTTTTTCTAAATTTATATGTGTGTGTGTATATATGTATATATATATCAAAATAAATGTGGGGGTAGAGTCTACCTTGGCATGAAGTGCTCAATGCTGTGTCCTTTTTTCCTCTCATAATATTTATATATATATATATGTATATATATATATATATATATATATATATATATATATATATAAGTGAAAGAATCAAAGAGGACGCATCGATTCTCTGTTACTCTGAGTTTCGTGCCTAAGCGCTCGTCAGACAGAACCAGGCAGGAATCTGTCTGACGAGCGCTTAGGATGATATGATATTCATATCATCAAAAGGCGAAGCAGATTTGGTAAGAACTATTTTTGATAAATAGTAACAACTGTCATTTTCATCATCATTATTTCAAATATATATAATTCTCTTTTTCAGCACTCCTTATAGAAGTTGCTCTTGCTCAAGAGTATATAGACGATTGATATTATCTTGTCTTGCTTCATTCTATCCCCTCAACACTCTATGAAAAAAACCGTCATGTGAGAGATTTTACGCAAAATAAAGTTTGAAGGGTGTCTACATAGTTTTCAAAAAATTATGACGTGGTGGTAAAATAAAGATCCTCAAATAAAAAATTTTTAATATAACGTTAGCCTTGGTAGCACTGAAAGAAAGTCTTAGTTCATTAGATCCCTGTAAAAGTATCGCTCTGATGTTTTCCTGAAGAAGCGTCAGCTGTATTCCTCGTTTTCATAAGCCACTCTCATCAATGTCAGCTTTAAAGCCAATCAGAAACTGAAGTCAAGCACGTTGTTCGGAGTGACAAAAATAGGCCAATCAGCGATAAAATTCATATCACGTGATCGTAGGTCAAAAGCAGAGCGCGCCGCTCAAAACTTTACCAAATCATTTCACCACATAAAATTTCATTACTTGCACATTTCACACTCTCATGTCTTCGCCGCCTGAATTGAACATGTCAAAGAAACATGTCTAAGAAAGCAGTTTACAAGAAACGACAGAAAGCATAGGATCACAGGTTTGTGTTGTAATATTTCCCTCCACTGTCTAAACCTAGAGGCGACACTTGTTCGCATGTGGTAAATGTGGAGAATGTCCCTAGTGGTTTCAAACAAAAAAATTAAATATTCCATTCGCAAGCTTTTGTCTGTCAATTAGTTTACAACACGAAAATTTTCTTTACCAGCTTACTTGAAAGTAAGTTTCTTTCCAGATGCCTACGAAAAAGAAAACAATAGAAAAAATTCGCCGGCTTCCTAGCGTCTGTCGAGATGTCATCAAACAAAAACATAGTGCAGAGGAAGCAATGTAATTACTAGGTGGGCTTTACGATATTTTCTCGCTTAGGATACATGAAATTGAATCAGAGGTATGTTTATTCTCAATAAAGGTTTCTGCAGTGTGAAAAATTCGGAGAACTTTATTGAAAATGAAATAAGTCTGGGCAAACAAAGCTCGCGAAAGCTGCGCGTTTGGCGCGAAAGCGAACGAATGATTTTCAAAGAATGTCTTCCACTCCTGTCTTCAGCGACCATTTTTTTCAGCGACTACTGTTTAATTATAATTTCATTTACGACTCCTGCAAATTAATAAAGGGAACTTTCATTGAGTCAACACCTCACTTTCCGGCTAAAAAGTAAGGCGTTGCGTGAAAACGTTTTGTAACGACAACAACGACCTGTGCATTGTAATCTCCTCATGCATCTGAGGAGCGAATTGTAACCATAATTGCTCTGAGGTGTAAACACTGTTATTATTTTCCGCAGTTCCTAAGGAGTGACTTACTATGCCGGATTTCTACTATGAATCTCACGAATGATTGCAAACAACTATCGTTCTGTATTTCTTCTTCAGGAGTGAATTTCTTCACCCGTCAAATAACAGGCCATGTTGGGTTAAACATGAATTACTAATTCTTTAATCCTTATCCGGAGTAAGGTTCTTCAAAACCGTTACGATATTGAAAATCTCATTCAAAATTATTGCATCCGCTAAGTATTCGGATAGTCGTTTCACACTTTGAATTAATTTCAAAATGGCAGGTTTGATTTCCACTGTCTTCCAATTACTGTACGAGAAGAGTGTTATCGTAGGAAATAAATACAATTTTGGCTTCACCCACTTAGTTCTAATGACACTTCCGTAATATTTCACAAAGAAAGGTTTCAAATAATCGTTGTAAGAAGGGAAAGAATCACAGTATGTATCTGGTCACAGCAACGTGTGCGTTCTCGATAAAACGCCACTTTGACTGACGCACAGGCTGCCTGTTTCATGATATTTGAACAATAGGCCATTTTACAGTTGTGTACTTAGTTGCCAAGCCTTTGATTTGGAGTGAGGCTGAAGGTGACCTTGTTGTGTTCGAGACCAAATCTAGTTAGCATGATAACAAATTAATTTATATTTCAAAAGCAGCAAGGTTTGTATCATAACAAGGTCACCCTTAGCCTCACTCCTGTTCAAAGGCTTGGCAACCAAGCACACAACTGTAAAATGGACTATTAGGAAGACAAAGAGTACGGGCTCTGGAATCTCAAAACGCATAAGAGATAAATTTTTACTCATAATTTTTAATTGCAGAGAAAAGGGTCAATATGGTTTCTGAAAAAACCGTCTCTTCCGAGCAAGTCGAGGGTAATTTATTGTTTCTTGATGTTCCGTCTCACTTAATATCTGTGACAGGAAAACGAGTATAAAACATATAACTGTTGCTGTCCTCATTTTTATTTCATTTTTCGTTTTTGTCCATAATTTTCCGCTTGTAACTGGCGTTTTTCAATATGGAAAACGGAATTTTCAATTAAATTTCTCGCGGAGGCGTTTATCTTCACCAACGGTCTGGTTTTAGACTGAGAAGACCCATTAAGTTATTCAATGCCAAATAAACAATTTGTTCTTATTTTCATTGTCCCCATCAGTTTTTTTGCACAGATATCATGCTTTTTATAACTACTAACTTTAGCATATACAAGGTATCTTGACTCGTTCGCCACGGCTTGCGAAGTCACCTTCAATGTGAGGGAAATAACAAAAATATGTCTTTCTAAAGAAAGTAAACACTTAAAGGAAACACCGACAAATAACAGATGTCTATGTCAGACGGGAGTTCCTAACACATGCGCATACTTTTCAGGTGCAGATCTTTTAAGATGCTTTACGAGCCGTTTTTCCCATCCTTCTCTATCAACGCTGTCAGAATAGTTGAGAAATGTTCTTGCTCGTAATGGTTTCGGTAACTTTTTGAGACTAATCGATTCGAGACCGATCAATATTACTGAGTAATCACTGTAATGAAAACTTTTGTGTAAGGCATAGTCGAGCTCTTGCTTGCAAAATCTGCTGGCTGCATAACTCCCCGACCACACTGCCAACACGTAACGGCTTTGGTACACACTATCGGCGATAGAATCCAGAATGGGATAACCAAGTTTGAAATGCATCTTATCGATGCAGTACTTGACCTGGTTTTCACTCAACAAGCTTAGTAGCTTGCTATCCACCCAATTAGAGTCTTTCCTGCTGTAGGTGATAAAGACGTCATATTCGTAGATTGGTTCTTCATCACCTGGGAAAGGTTTTACTAGGAAGAGAAAATTTTTAGAATTCTTTGTTAACAAATATTACGACTAAAACCGTTGTGTAGTTGAAAAAATTCACAAACGCAATACAGATACTCAAAAAAAGGTTAAATAAACGCAAAACTGTTCAAAATCTTTGAAAAACGCGAAATATCTCATAGCTAGCTCCTCCAACCACCATAAATAAAAATTTCCTTAGTGGATAGTCCTGAGAATTTGGTGTTAGGGCACTTTTCGACTGAGTTTCGTAAGAGCTAGGTCATATTTCTACGATGTTCTTCTTTTTCCTTTTCTCTAATCAAGTAACTGAAGTCTCTAGGACTTTTTCGCTGACTATTTTCCTCCGCCAAGAATATGTTAATTTTTTCTCATTGATTTTAATGTTAACGAGCGTAGTCTTCACTCAAGACATCCTTTTTCGGCGATCATACACGTGGTCAGTTTCCACGCAAAAATTGTGATCGCCATTGCGGAATTTTGGTGGACGAGGGGGTTGAAGTTTCGCTGACATAAAACGTTGGGTCGTATACGTCTTCCGTTTTTATAAGACGCCTGTACCTCTGCGTGCATATAAAAATATGCGTTCGCTTACTTGATGGAAGAGTTTTAGGTGCTCTTTTATAATATAACTTGACCAAAAATCCTATGGTAACTACCACTCCAGCGAACAGTCCCAGAGCTATATATAGTGCTAGCTGTAAGCGCTTGTTTTCTTCTTTCACCGTGACTACTGGGGGTTCCGGATCGCGTTCTGTGATTCAAAAAAATTTTAAGAATTAAAATCAGCACCAGACCTTTAGCAGGTTTCCCCGAGTGGAGAGTGAAACGAGTCTGCGGTGGTTATTCTGGGTAGTCTCTTATGCAGACTCCAGCTTAGCGTTAGACGACTTGTACTGTGTATTTAAAAAAAATGCTTCTGGTAACACTGACGTCAGCCACTGTGGTACGAATTAGTCATTTTTCAGCAGTGTGGCTAAGGAATTTTTACCCTGTTGTAACTTTTTATAAATTCTAGTCCTTTGATTTCCCAGGAGTTTGAGGTTGTAAGAGATGTACAGCTTTGCTGGCCGCCGAAACACTGGGCTTTAGAGTAGTAATACCCAATAAAAGAAATTTGAATCAAATATGATGAAAAATAATGATCACAATTGGTCAATACTCATTCTCAGTCGCATGGCGAGAAGGTCTTGATAATTACGCAAGGTTTCAGAGGCGAACATTCCTCTCAGGCACTTTGCGTAAAGGAGTCGCTATTTTTATTGCAGTAAAAGATCAGGAGCGAATAGAAAAGAAAACCTTACCTGGGAAAAATGTCACATTAACCTTGATGTTTTTCCTCCGCAAGCCATGTGAAGTGTTGAGCACGCACTCGTACTTTCCACTATCTTCAACCCTAGCATTGTATATCGTTAAGCTGAGAAGTCTCCTTTTAGTATTTTCCTCATTGTTGTCAACAAAATCATTGTTCATTTCAAAGTGCTTGTTCCTTTTTATATGACTGCCATTAAAAAGCCAGAAAGTGTCATCAAACAATGCTGCTGGGTAAATTCCGAGACAACTTAACGTAACATTTGTACCGTTTGTAATTTTAACATACGATTTAGTTTTCTGTGTGAATTCTAAATCTGGACCTTGTGTGTCACGTATGTTCACAGCTATGTCGTGTGTTTTTAAACCAATGGTGGAGTTTGCAGCACATGTGTAGATTCCACTTTGGGCGAGGGTCACATGTTTCAGTTCCAAGGGCATGCCATCCCCTTGTTGGTACAATACTTTAGTTTTAGGTACTATTTTTCCGTTCAAAAGCCAGTACACGACCACTTCGAAAGCTCCTGAAAAGTTGACACTGCAATTTAGAGTTGTTGTGCTTCCTTCGTCGAGGGTGATGTTTGTCTGCGTGGAAGTGACGTTGAGTACTGTTAGAAGAAAATGGTATCGGTAATGGATTGACTTATGTGCACTTTCAGATACACATGAAAGTAGATCTGAGATGAGAACCTTGCAGTTTACGTATGGAGTTGAGCCTGCCTTCGATACCCGCCCCAATTAAGAGTGACATTGATTTGAGAAGAATACCCTAACGGACAAGACACCAATTTTACACATCACGGTTTCATCACGCTTTCTACGTTTTTCAAACTCAGCCTGAATCATTCACGTTACATGTATGCGATTCATAAGGTTAAAAAAAAGATAGACGCTAAACGGGCTCTCACATTTCTATTCTCTTGGATGGGGTGGAGAACGATGCAGGGAGGGATGGAGAGATGGAAGGAACTCAAGAGACTTTCCAGGGAGTGAAGGACGTGTGTCTGTGATGTGTTGTTTGTCATGAAGACCGGATGTTATTCTCCTTTCTCCCCTAAGTGAGGAAAAATGAGAATGAACTGCAGCACCTTTTAAGGTAAACGAGGAGAAAAATGTTGTTTAAACTCACATTCTTCCTGAATTGACAGCTCTATATTCTCCTTTGCCTCAAGCATCCTGTCAAGGTGTATTTTGGAGACTTTGCAGGCGTATGTACCAACATCTGTGTCCGAAACATTCTTGATGGTTAAAGTAAAGTTTCCTTTTCTTTTATTTGTCTGATAGTGTGGCTCTGGTATTATAATTTTGTTGTTTCTTTTCTTTATTTCTTGTCCGTTGAATTCCCAAGAGCTTGAGGTTGTAAGTTTTCTAACCCTCGTGGCAGAGCACATCAAGGTTACTGTGGAACCTTTTTGTGCAACAACAGCCTTATCGACCACCGAGATCTTGGGCGTCAGAGCAGTAACACCTGATTTAAGAAAAATGTAGAAGAAACAATACGAAATTAAAACTTTCATGAGCACAAGAGCAGTTTGTAGTCGCTCTCTTAGTTGGACGAGATGAGAGTGCATATCTTCAAAGGAAGGCGGGACACAAATTATTTGTATATACTTATACATTCATTTCCCAGTCTGTGGCTTTTGTTAGATGTAAAATCTCTAACGCTCGTTTGTTTGTTTGGTTGATTCTTCCTTAATCTCTTTTCTTCTCAAATTCTTACAACGGGGACTAACTCCTATCTAACGAGAAAAGCGAGGGTCATCGTTTATAAAGGTGACACTGCAGATGACACTACTAAGCGGTCAATCTTCTTGTATCGTCATCGTTCCATCTCAGCCAGCGAATCATGTTAGGTTACGTATGACAGTTCCTGCTTACTAGGTATGCGCCTTCGAGTTATTTGCGCAGTTACAAAATCAAAACCTTAAATTTCTTATTCTTACAGTTAAGATCGGCCAGAACAGAAACGAGATTGGTAATATAAAAATCAGAACTAACCTACTGACAGAATATTATTCACATCTACATTCTATATTTTAGAACATCTGCACCTGAAAGCAGCCAAACTAGTTCACAAACTCCCTACCGAAACTCCTGACACTGACGTTCTCGACCTTGTAAAATGGAAACCTCTAGTCTATATTTACAAGCGTAGGCTCGCTTCTATAATGTACCAGATCTATCATAATAGCTTACCTGATCAACTCACAGCCCTCTTCGAAACTTGCAACACTAATACTAATTATAATTTAAGGCGCACAAATCACTTCTCGCATGTACGGTACAATAGCAACATTGGCAGAAATAGTGTAAGATATAGAGGACCCATCGTTTGGAATTTAATCCCTAGAGCCATCAAGGACGCTTCCTCCTATCAACTTTTTAAACAAAAACTTAGACAAGCCTCCAAGATACTGGACCAACTCCAATTCGAAAAAGAAGCCTGTCTGATAACATCAAAACGATCAGATTTCTTATATTTTTAGTTTTTAAATTTTAATTAATTATTTTATTTTATTCAAGATTTTATATAAATATAGTTTTTTTTTAATTAAGTTGTCGGCAGGTCCACACCAGCCTTTAGGTTGCCGCAAACCGACCTGCCTTAACAAATAGTATATGTATGTATGTAGGTATGTACATCTGAAGAGGTATCTTAACAGAAAATTGCCTTAGAAGACCGTTAAATGACAACATTATGATCACACAAGTTGGAGAAGAAGGGGCGTTCACAAGTACCGCCCCCAAGTTGCTACGTGCTAGTTATAATAACTATTTAATTGCAAAACATGAAGGGTATCACATGTTTACACCTTTAAGAACGAGAGGTGTCGAACGTGACCTTTTACCAGAGAGATTCACTCTTCCTGGATTAACAAATAAACATAATTAATAACATAACTTTCCCAAGACACTATCACGAGTTCTAATTACCGTAGAAACTGAACAACTGTTTCCATGTCAACTTCACGATCATAAAGAGGAAAACGTGACCAAACTCCACCCTTAAGATAAGACCTCCAAAAGGAATAAGAGGTCACCGACCTGCCTTTTTATAATTTTTGCAGGAATGGTTTAAAGTAATATAATATTTCCACTCCTTTCCCTGACACCAATATAAGGAAACCCTTACGATATTTCAGATTAAATATAGTTGTATTTTTATCGTTTAACACTTTAAAAAAAACTTTTGGTAAGACTGAAGTCAGCCACTGTGGTACGAATTAGTCTTTTTTCAGCAGTGTGGCGAAAGAATTTCTACCTTGTTGTAACTTTTTATTTATTCTAGTCCTTTGATTTCTCAGGAGTCTGAGGTTGTAAGAGATGTAACCTTCCTGGCAAGGCGGAATCAAGGTTACATTGGAACCTTTTCTTGCTATCACAACCTTCTTGGCCGCCGAAACACTGGGCTTTAGAGTAGTAATACCCGATAAAAGAAATTTGAATCAAATATGATGAAAAATAATGATGACAATGGGTCAATACTCATTCTCAGTCGCATGGCGAGAAGGTCTTGATAATAACACAAAGTTTCAACGGCAAACAGAAGTTGCTGTATTTTTCGTCGTAACAGCATTCTACGCGATAATCAACATTCCTTTCAGGCACTTTGCGAACAGGATTAAGGTAAACTGAAGTACATGAATTGTCAGCAACTGCGCTCCTATTGCTTTCCTTAGCGAAGAAAGGACATCGTGGTGTAAGGAAGACTCTCCCCTGTCTTTGTGAAAGACTCTAACGCTTTGTGAATCGCAAAGGAGTCCGAGGAATAGTAACGCAACCAATTTACCTTTTTCTTCCATGATCTTGAATCTAAAGAACTCAAGGAAGCGCTGAAATCTCTGTCATCTATGGCAAGGATTCGTTTTCCTTTCTTGATAGTCTTTAAGGTTCATTTAACTCGAAAAGACTACTTAAAATGGCTAAGCAAAACACTGATTAAGTGTTGGCAATGATCAGTGATCACTAACCTCTTCAAACAGTCAAACTTTTGAAATTAGACGAGAAAAGGAGAGCGCAAAAAGGTGATTGTTTATCAAAAGTCTTTTTCATTTGTTGGGTGACAAATTTTTATTTTTATTGCCGTAGACTGCTACAATCGCCCTTTCTTACCCAGATGACTTGTGCTGAGTCATGGGAGCTAGAGTTAAAAACGGGGAGGGAATAGAGAATAGAGTTTCAGTCGTCTTTCGTTCTCTTGAATTTCCATTAGGTTCTGCTTGTAAGTCCCACATCCTTTATTAGTTTGACTTGAGTTCATTCAAATTTCTACACGTGGTTTTAATTACTTTGATGATAAAGGTCAACTGAATTCATTTCCACTTTTCAAACATTCTGCTCGCATTCAATTAAACGTCTTTTTCTACTTCTTAGTCACAGCTTGTGTAGGGAAAACTAAGCCTTGTTGTAGTTTAACGAAGATCATGATTAATTAAAAAGCTTGCTTGTAAATATCTGCGAAAATATTGTTTAGTTTTGTGCAGAAACAACGACTCGATTAACATTTATGCTAAAGATATGTTGACCTGTCTCTAGTTGTTGAGTCTTAAAATATTTACATTCATATTACAAACGTAACTTGATTGTGTGATACACATTTCATCGTTCAATATGAGTCTTCAGATGTCTACATTTGCAAAAACCTAGCTCAATTATGAAATCCAATTAGCTTTCCATTTGAAGCTAAATGACCAGGATCCGTGTAGTTCGCTTGTTTCACTTTCGTCCATCTAACTGTTCATGACTCATGGTGAAAATACTTCCAAACTACATTTCGCTTTTGACAATGAATCAACTGTCACCTGTTCCCCTTAAAAGGAAGTCATGTGGATGATAAATTGAGTTGAACTCAATTAAACTCAATTTATCATCCACATGACTTCCTTTTAAGGGGAACAGGTGACAGTTGATTCATTGTCAAAAGCGAAATGTGGTTTGAAAGTATTCCATCTGAGTGTGGGTGTTTCCGTTTCATGATAGTTTTAAGTCGTGTATTGATAAGATCACCGTTGAACTGTCTCTTCGTTATTAATAGATCACTTCACCGAAGCCTTCGGCCTCTTTCGATGTCCATAACGTATGCTGAAAATGATTTGGTTATATGACCACCCGTAACAAGTCCGAGTATGAAATTCCTACCGTAATCGACTTCGAATTCCCAAACTGTCTAGGACTCATTTCCCAATACGATGAAAACAATTCGCGTAAACGTGTAACCAGGAAAATGTTTAACCTTCTAGGCGTCTATTAAATGACACGACATCAGATAAGCGATCTCTATTTGCCTTTTAAATTGAATTAAATTTCTACAAGTTCTGATAATAGAAAGTAAACACTCTCGTAAAAGAACTCGCCGCAAAACAATTATTTAAACGAGTGGCAGCCGAATGAGAGCTATTTAAGTCATGGTCGAGCCGAGTGGAAGAGGTGCTTTTTGTGTCGATACAAGATCGTCGTTAACTAGATTTCATTTTACCTTATAGACAATAAGAAAGACCACTTGCTTTTGAGTACTGCTATAGTTTCATTGAAGGGTGCTTCTATGAAGTTTATTTTCCAAGGGTTTTACTTTTTAATTTTCTAATCTGGATATTTAGATGAGAGTATTGTTTATGACGAAAAGTTGTACGGGGAGATACCTTTTGCTATTTCTGAGCTTTACAAACTCTTGCAAAGCTGCAGTCATCATTTAAGCTACCGTTATCTTGGTTTGTGATTCTATCGGGTGAATGCGGCCTTTTTCGTTTTGTTATTCATATCCGAGCTCGCCTGAATAAAGAACAGCTGGCGGAGAATAAATCTTAACCCACCCGTAAAGCAAAATTTACGCATGACTTTCACTTTCAAAAACTCCTTGTTTGATATTTATTAGCTTCTTCCCGACCATTGTAACTGTCAGCCAATGTTGCTACCATTGATCTTAGTTTTCAAATATCAGATGTGCAAACAGAAAGATCGAGTTTAGATCTTAACATAAGGACGCTGCCAATTGCGGAAAAAGTAACAACGCAACACTGCTTAGATTTGCCTCGCGACAGCCAAGTTTCAGAGAGGAAACAAATTCTTTTTTGCCAAATCCACCGGAATCAATCCTGCACGTGGCTTACTGCTGTTTCCCTCTCTAGACCCACAGTATCAACGCGTGCATATTGCTTTAGGTGAAGTACCCTTACCTGAAGCCGATAGCAGTGCTCCAAGCAGCAGAGGTGCAAAGAGACAGCTCATGTTTTACTTGCCGAGCCGTCTGCTCGAAAGCTTGCCTGAAGAACAGCTTCGACTACTTCCTGCACGGGTTGAAATAATTTTCACTTTCGAAAGGTTGATATATGATATGATGTTTCCGCTAAAAGAAAGTGTTGTAAAAGTGGGGAGGGGTTCATTTCAATAGATAAAGTGGGAATGCGGAACAGTTTTTAGATTAATTCACAAGAACATTGTAACAGAAAGCGAGTTACATTTGTCTGGAATTTTTAAGCAGAGTTCTTAGAGAGTAGGACATCCATCCTTAAGTAATTTCATTGCTTCTGCGGCACTCACGGGGTTTTATCAGGAAGCCTGTTGCAAACACGGTGATATCATAACGTATCAGCTCCCCCCCCTTCCCCCTTCCTGATTTGATTGTAGCCTCGATGCTAAAGCCACCAGTAATTTGAGTTAAAATAACAATTATACTTTCGATGGAAGTCAATCACTGTGGTTGCTGGGCAAGCCGATAAATGACCCTATTCATTGATATGAATACCATTGTTATCTATCAATACTTAGTTTTTTATGATGGATGAATCGCAAGTAAACTAAATTGATTTGATACCTGTCACAAAAAGCCAGGCCTGAAAATGGACAACCCTAGCAACAGGTTATTAAATGGTAGAACAAAGAGATAGGAAGTATATTAACTGACGCAGAATTTATACACGACGCATGATGGTTTCTAAACAAAGCTTTGAAGAAGGATACTATGGTGGGAGAGAGCGATACGTATGGAATGTTAGACACCTAAGACGTAAAAAAGAAACAAAAAAAGAAAACATTAAATGAAACCATGAAATTTCTGTCGCGCGGTTGATTCTGTTGCATCAAGATTATTTGGAAAGTTAATAACTTTCTGCGCGTGTTCATTCTTCTCTGTCAATTCGGACCTTCAAGGCAGCTTCGATCTTCTCTAATATGGTAAGAATGTCTCACGGAAACTAGTTGTTGAGAGAACGATATATATCCCTTTGCTTTGTGCACGTTTCGAACCGTGATTAAGCAGGCATGGATGTATACTCAAGGAGAGGATATCATGCGGATGTATTTCATCCAGGAAGACAATACTGGAGGAAACGAGACAGAAGAACAAGAACGAGCTTTCTTTTTCCACGACAAGTCTTTGATTCCGCTTTTAAAATAGCTTACTATAGATAAGTAAGGAAGGCCTCGGATCGAAGAAAGTTCGAAGAGTAAATTTTTTGATCTATCGTCCATTACGACTGTTGAACCTGCTTGAGAAGAAGGGATCTTCTTGTACGCGGTCAAGAGTCGTTTATCCGAAAAATAGGAGTACTATAAGACATGGGAATGAACTTTTTCAGTCATGGCCTTGAGTCGCGCAAACTCACGCGAAAGCCAATTAATTGGAAAAGTTGAATTCTTTCAGTTTCGACGACCATTTCATGTCAAGCTCTTAAAATACAATTTGAATTAGGCGTTGAGGGTTTTCAGATGTTTTGACAATTCGATGATTGATTATCTTGGAAACAAAGAAGTTCTACGTAAATGCACGTGTTCGCCTTGGAGATATGAAATATGAAGGTCTGATTATCTTTCTTGTTTGATTTTTCACTAAACAATTCGAAGCGTGGACGTTCATAGGACAAAAGTGAAAGACGATGGGTTCGAGCGTGTGCTATGAGCAGGTGTCATTGTTAGACAAATTAAATTGTTTCAGAACGTGTTAGGAGTGTCAGACAATTAAAATAGATATTTAGCTTGCTTTCTCTTTGCTCCACTTGTTTGGGGAATGCCACATTAACATTGTCGTCAAAATGACTTTCCGAGGAGCTGTTTTTATCACCTGTATTTTAGGACATTATTACTTAATTTCAGGTGAGTTTTAATGATCTTTGTTTTGAAAAGGAGTCAAATTACCCGAAAAAATGTGCTCGTAAGCTAAATTAGTAAGAGCATGTGCTCCTCATTTCATGCCTGATCATGCTGAACGAGGTGACCGTATAAATTGGCTCTGTGTAAGTACATAGTCGTGCTCTGGATAGCTCCAATTGATTGTTCCTTTAAATAAATCTTCTGTGGGGTTTCCCCGGACTCGCGATTAAGTTTTTTTTCCTTGTCACATTGTACCTAAGATCATAGAAAAGTAAGATCGTTTGTCTCATGATTTAGTCGCTTCCGATGAAGATAGCGACGTGTCGACTGCTTACAGGTAGTCTTCTGAGGGTAATGAGTTCGTTATCTGGAGAAAAACGTTAAGTGCCTTATTTTTATAGACTCTGTTGAGCCATCCTTTTAAAATAAGCCCCTCCTTCCCTTTTCCCTGATAGAAAAAGAAAGAGAATCCATCATATGACTATCATAATGCTACGTAAATGATTACATACATTTAGGCTTTTTTCATCAAAGAAATGCATACTTTATAAGGTGTTTTGTGATTCTCATTGTGACTCTGAATGAGCTCTGATTAGCCCTCTCCTCAGCCACTCTCTTTAGTGAGCCACCAGACTGGAGGGCCCGAAATTAGCCATGAAGTTCCTCGAGGGCTCATTAGACGGTTGTGGAATAATTTTACCTCGCCATGATGAACAACCACAGCATTATTTACGAAAAACCTGATCTAGGCACTGTAGCACTTTATCTGTAAAGTTTCAGTCAATTTAGTGTTTTCAGCCCTCTTGCACACAATAAAAAAACTTCCTAGCAAAGTTAATCCACATTTAGATGTAATTTCCGAAACAGTAAACGATTTAAATAGAAAATAGATGTTAGCCCAAAAGAAAAGATCGAAACGTATGAGGTGGAGCCCTAACCGCGGTTATTGTGTTGTGCTCATGCGCCAAAAGCTTATTCAGTGTTAGCATCTCTCCCCGCTCAGGAGTACTTCGATGAGTAATGAAAATCTGTCAGAGAAACTCAGCTCAAAAGAGGCTGAGGGAGACACCTTTAATGGACTGGCGTCCCTTCTATAAGAAGCCTGGACTAGGTTGCTCAAAGCTGGGTTTAGATCAACCCAGGGTTACTGTGAAGTCTGATTTCATATTTGAAAGCTTTAATAGAAAACTCACTATCATTCCTTTTATCTAAAATTTGATGATTGGATACTCTTAAAAGGATAGAAAAAATTGTCCAAAAGGGGCTTTTTAACAAAGGAATAAAGAAATCCGGATTAAAATTTAACCCAAGGAAAGCGCTAATCGGTCTTCGGACAACTGCGCCCTGGCCCCTTAATGTTGCAACGGAAACCTGGATTTGCTCCTGTCTTCTGAGACAATAGGCCAGAGAGCTCCTTTGACCTGATAATTAGATCATATTTATGCATAACTCCCGTAGTATTCCTGTCAACAGAAAAGGGGAGCCAGATTTTTGAATGCAGAAAGATAGCGATCCTCTTCTTACCAAATAAATACGTTACTGCGCCTTTCAATAACATGCAAACTATGGCGTTTCGAGCTCACCTACATTTCATTCCATTCTCCGATCAATCTTTTATGAAACGGAAATCATGGAGCAGAAAGACATGAACATAACCTTACCAGTGTATTTGTTTTCTAAGAGGACTGAAAATTTATTGACGGCAGCGTTAGACGTATTTTCAGTGATGCATCTCTTTATCGATTGTCCATATTGCAACTGAAATGTCCTTTCTCAAAATGATTAATTTGTACCACAGTAGAAGACTTCCTACCATAAACTTTCTTTTAAGATTGGGAAAGGAATGCGTAAGTTCAACAAATTTATGTTCCGCCTTTTTTTTTATCTTTGCGCCCTTACCGAGTCTATCTCACAAAGCACAGCGAGCCGCTCTTGTGTCAATGAAACTATAAGTTTTGCATTCTTTCCCTTACATTTTTCTTAAATCAGGTGTTACTGCTCTGAGGCCCAAGATCTCGGTGGTCGATAAAGCTGTTGTTGCACGAAAAGGTTCCACAGTAACCTTGATGTGCTCTGCCACGAGGGTTAGAAAACTTACAACCTCAAGCTCTTGGGAATTCAACGGACAAGAAATAAAGAAAAGAAACAACAAAATAATAATACCAGAGCCACACTATCAGACAAATGAAAGAAAAGGAAACTTTACTTTAACCATCAAGAATGTTTCGGACACAGATGTTGGTACATACACCTGCAAAGTCTCCAAAATATTCCTTGACGCGATGCTTGAGGTAAAGGAGAATATAGAGCTGTTACTTCAGGATGAAGGTGAGTTTCAATTACAAATTTTTGTATTCTTGGGCACTTACTGCTGCTAGTATAGTGATCTGAGACTCTGGCCTTTTCTCCATACAGCTGTCTCTGTAATCCTGCCTGTCGTTAAGGCACTTCGCTCCTACGTGGTGACCAGCGAGGGTTCCAATGTTACTTTGACGTGCATTGGTCGGAGAGTGAAAGCGCTCGATACCATGGTTAAGTGGAAGTTCGAGGGCCAGGAAATCGAGGAAAGCTCAAACAAGAGAGCCATTGTCAAGTTCCACCCAAAGAGGCGAGGGAATTTTTCGTTACATATAACAAATGTCTCGAAGGAAGATATCGGTAAATATTCGTGTGTCGCATCTACGGCCGACTTTGGAAAGGCGATCGTCAAAGAGACTTTTATTCATTTGAATTTATTTAAAACTGGTGAGTAAGCCTTAAAACAATGGCATTCGTGCCTTCCTCTAAACCTTCAAAAGAGAGCCTTGCAATCGAATCGCGTGAAACAAAGCCCATTCAGAACAAAGAGAACATCAACATGAGCCAATTAGAATTCCAAGTAAAGAGAAAACATATGCATCTTGTAGAAGGGTATGAAAAAGGGAATTGAGGCCAAGCTACGTTTGCATTTGGTTTGCATCTGGCGTTAGGAAAGGGCAGAAGGGATGACAGACGTGTCAGACCAAATTTGATTTAATCCCTGATATGTTCACATTTAATAGGAAAAAGGTCTTGATTGCAGTATAATTGCGTTTGAAGCCCTGATATGCATTCGCATATTTGTGCATTACGAAGAAAATTGTTGACATCTATATTTCTAAATCTCTCAAAATGCCATTACTGTGCCCCAATTAATTTCTCGTCAAACCATTTCACTGGTTTATTTCCAACGCTGCTCTCTTAGTAGAAATTCACTGGAACATAATCTGTGCAAAGAAATGGTAATTAAAAAGAAAAAGAACCAATAAATCAAAATCAATGGAGAACTGAGAATAGAGAATTTCCATTTAATCGCAGTAACACCGAAATTGCCGAGACCCTTCAACTTTGACCAAATTCCAAGGTTTTGCTGTTCACAAACGAATGTGTAATTGATGTTCTGAAAACTTAGTTTTTCATTTATTACCAATTCTAGTGTCGTGGCCAAGAGGAACTTATGCTTTGCCGATGCCAAATAGTGGCTGTCCAATTACAAGTGAGTTCACTTGGTCAGCGGGTTATCATCGGCAAGACACAGAGGAAACAGGTCCACGAAGTAGTTGGTCCAGTCCACTTCACTTGAAAGGAGATAAGACTCCCACCCAGATTACTCAGCATTTCTGTGTAAAGACAACTGAAACAGGGGGAAGACTTTGGCCATCAGGGCAATATTGTATATACAGAAAGGGAACGTGCCCAGGCGGTAAGGTGTATGGTTTTTGAGAGCGACCTGATATGAACTTATCTTTCGCCATTGTGGTTCATGAACCTTGAACCTTTTTTTTTTTTTTCGCTGGTTCTCATTCTTTCCCTTGGTCTTTTTTTTTGTATTATGTGGTCCTACTTCTGCAAGATAACCAAAACTGTGCATTTTGATCCGTGGCCATCCCAGGAAAGGGTCTGTAAGAACTTGCATGGTTCTGATATCAACTATGATGATGGCCACCTCAAAAGCTTCACAGATCTAACAGCTAACGTTTTTATAATAAAGAATTGATTTGATTCCCGGACCAAAGAAGGCATATGAATACTAAGATTAGACAATGAAAATATTTACAACCGAGTAACGAGATTCAAGGTAGTATTTTCTTGTGTGCGACAGGATTTCAAGAAGGAGAGATCAAATGGGACGACGAGGACACTAAAAACGACAACATGGCTGAAGGCATTTTACCTGACGGTGAATACAAAAAGGATACTATTTTGCAGTTCTGCTGTCGATCAGATGGGTCAGCGGAAAACCCTATCGAGCTGCCCATTCGCGAGCCGTTTTTCCTCCTTAAGCACTCAGGCCGTTGCCAGGTAGTTTTGGGCATGCGTGTCACAGAAGAGTGGTTATTCTGGGACTGTGAAGACCGAGAAAACAAAAATTCATATAATGGAGAGGTACCAGCGTCTTTTATTACGAAGGACGTCAAACTACATTACTGCTACTACGAAAAACAATAAAAAAAGGCATGCGTTGCTCTTTGGGAATGAAATCTTCATCTTAAGGGTCGGCTAACTTGCTGAATTTTCATTGATATATTTTTGTTGCACTTTCATACACTCAAACATTCAGGTAACAGAAGCTTCATTAACTGTCCGGGAGGCTCCCCTTTTTTCAGCGCTTGGATCAGATGGGTATTTAAAGTAATTCTCTAGTTTCGGCGATCGTGTTTCGTTGCTCTTTTTTCACCCAATGCAGATTAATCTATGATTAACGTAAAAGGTTATACTTGCACAGTCAGCACACACCCCGTTTAACTAATCGATGTGTCGCAAATAGCAAAGATTGCACCAATTGCGTGTATAGACTGGATTACTACAGATTAATGCTGAGATTTGTGGGAGATAGTTTTAAAAATTAAATTTTAAGCAGTTTTAAACACAGTATTTATTTTAAATCATTCGTTTTACTCGTAGGGTCAATTTTATACTTAACTTAATAAAATTTAACTTATCTAAATTACACTGGAAATGATACAGAAATTAATAAAATAATACGTCCTTGTCCTTAAAAAAGGATTTATTTTGTTGAATTTGACTTTATGGTCTTCCTCCTTGAGTAAATGACATCTACCGGTCTTTTCCTAACAATCGCTTACGAATTTGAATATTGACCTTAACCTGTTATATCGATATTCAGCTAATGGTCTAAAAGACAATCTTATGTCATGTCTTTCTATTTGGAGGCAAAACTTATCTTGTTGTCAAAATGCAAACTACGCTACAACGTACGTAAGGGGGAAAAACCTGTGATATTCCCTGAGGAAATTCTCAGCAAGGTCATCTGAGGCTGAAAAAAGTAATGATATGAAACTGCTCTTCATTATCAGAGCAAACATTACTATTCTAACAGGTTTTATTAACCCAAAGAAGGTGGGTTTAACCATGAAAATGAAATGTTAACTTGCATTTCAGTCATAATTTGAATGGCGAGGAAAGTTCTTTCATTATGAGACTTTTCATTTTCTATTCATATGCTAGTTTTGAGTTAATAATTCCCTTAAGTTAAGAAATTACAAACGAATCAGAAGACTTGACACCATGACTGTTTGGTTACCATCTGTCCACATCGTCGTACCGGATAATTCAGTTTTTCGGTGAAGAAAAATAATGTTATGAAGGTTAACTAGAACTAGCAATAATTCCCTTGCGCCTTCAGCAATGTTTGAATCACCTGAGTGGAGAGGGCCTCTTAAGGACAGATTCTTCTCACATCTTAAGCATGTGGTTGCCTTAATAATGTTTATGCAGTGTTAAGGGACATCAGAAAAGCAAACAAGAACAGCATGGAACTTCTATCTTTTTTTTACAGTATTATTATCTCTTCTGAAGATAAAATGGGAAAAATCTTGAAACTGTCAACACAAGAGAAGCTGACAGATCAAATGTACCGACGGGCTTTATCCATATCTAAGCCTTTTTTGCTAAAATTCGTCTCAGCTTAATTTAAGTCAATAGACTCTATTTTATCTGTAAGGTTGGTAAACAATGAAAAGTCTTCATTTTGTTGACAAAGAGAAGCAGAATCAGTCATAAGCGCGCGCGTTTAAATCTGGACCTTGTGTGTCACGTATGTTCACAGCTATGTCGTGTGTTTTTAAATCAATGGTGGAGTTTGCACCACATGTGTAGATTCCACTTTGGGCGAGGGTCACATGTTTCAGTTCCAGCGTTATGCTGAGTCGTTTAACTTTGTTTGCCATGGACATGCCATTCAATTCTTGGTGCAATACTTCAGGTTTAGATGCTATTTTTCCGTTCAAAAGCCAGTACACGACCACAGCGAAAGCCTCTGAAAAGATGACACTGCAAGTGAGAGTTATTGTGCTTCCTTCGTCGAGGGCGATGTTTGTCTGCGTGGAAGTGACGTTGAGTACTGGTAGAAGAAAAAAGTATCGGTAATGGATTGACTTATGTACACTTTCAGATACACATGAAAGTAGATCTGAGATGAGAACCTTGCAGTTTACTTATGGAGTTGAGCCTGCCTTCGATACCCGCCCCAATGAAGAGTGACATTTATTGAGAAGAATACCCTAATGGACAAGACACCAATTTTACACATCACGGTTTCATCACGCTTTCTGCGTTTTTCAAACTCAGCCTGAATCATTCACATTACATGTATGCGATTCATAAGGTTAAAAAAGAGATAGACGCTATACGGGCTCTCACATTTCTATTGTCTTGGATGAGGTGGAGATCGAGGCAGGGAGGGATGGAGAGATGGAAGGAACTCAAGCGACTTTCCAGGGAGTGAGGGACGTGTGTTTTGATGTGTTGTTTGTCATGAAGACCGGATGTTATTCTCCTTTCTCTCCTAAGTGACGAAAAATGAGAATGAGCTTCAGCACCTTTTAAGGTAAAAGAGAAGAGAAATGTTGGTTAAACTCACTTTCTTCCTGAATTGACAGCTCTATATTCTCCTTTGCCTCAAGCATCTCGTCAAGGTTTATTTTGGAGACTTTGCAGGTGTATGTACCAACATCTGTTTCCGAAACATTCTTGATGGTTAAAGTAAAGTTTCCTTTTTTTTTATTTGTCTGATAGTGTGGCTTTGGTATTATAATTTTGTTGTTTCTTTTCTTTATTTCTTGTCCGTTGAATTCCCAAGAGCTTGAGGTTGTAAGTTTTCTAACCCTCGTGGCAGAGCATATCAAGGTTTCTGTGGAACCTTTTTGTGCAACAACAGCCTTATCGACCACGGAGACCTTGGGCTTCAGAGCAATAACACCTGATTTAAGAAAAAGGTAAAAGAAACAATACGAAATTAAAAATTTCATGGACACAAGAGGAGTTCGTAGTCGCTCTCTGAGATGGACGGAATGAGAGTGCATAGCTTCAAAGAAAGGTGGGACACAAATTATTTGTATATACTTATACATTCATTTCTCAGTCTGTGGCTTTTCAAAAAAACTTTTGGTAATACTGAAGTCAGCCACTGTGGTACGAATTAGTCATTTTTCAGCAGTGTGGCTAAAGAATTTCTACCCTGTTGTAACTTTTTATTAATTCTAGTCCTTTGATTTCCCAGGAGTCTGAGGTTGTAAGAGATGTAACCTTCCTGGCAAGGCGGAATCAAGGTTACATTGAAACCTTTTCTTGCTATCACAACCTTGTTGGCCGCCGAAACAAGAGATTTGAATCAAATATGATGAAAAATAATGATGATAATGGGTCAATACTCATTCTCAGTCGCATGGCGAGAAGGTCTTGATAATAACACACTTGAAAGTTTCAACGGCGAACAGAAGTTGCTATATTTTTCATCGTAACAGCATTCTACGTGATCATCAACATTCCTTCTAGGCACTTTCCGAACAGGATTAAGGTAAAAGTGCATGAATTGTCAGCAACTGCGCTCCTATTGCTTTCCTTAGCGAAGAAAGGACATCGGGGTGTAAGGTAGACTCTCCCCTATCTTTACGAAAGACTCTAACGCTTTGTGAATCGCAAAGGAGTCCGAGGATTAGTAACGCAACCAATTTACCTTCTTCTTCCATGATCTTGAATCTAAAGAACTCAGGGAAGCGCTGAAATCTCTGTCATCTATGGCGAGGATTCGTTTTCCTTTGTTGATAGTCTTTAAGGTTCATTTAGCTTGAAAAGACTACTTAAAATGGCTAAGCAAACACTGATCAAGTATTGGTAATGATCAGTGATCACTAACCTCTTCAAACAGTCAAACTTTTGAAATTAGACGAGAAAAGGAGAGCGCAAAAAGGTGATTGTTCATGAACGGTCTTTTTTATTTGTTCGGCGACAAATTTTTAATTTTTATTGCCGTAGACTGCTACAATCGCACTTTCTTACCCAGATGACTTGTGTTGAGTCATGGGAGCTAGAGTTAAAAACGGGGAGGGAATAGAGTTTCAGTCGTCTTTCGTTCTCTTGAATTTCCATTAGGTTCTGCTTGTAAGTCACGTCCCTTACTAGTTTGACTTGAGTCATTCAAATTTCTACACGTGGTTTTTAATTACTTTGATGATAGAGGTCAACTGAACGCATTTCCACTTTTCAAAACATTCTGCTCGCATTCAATTAAACGTCTTTTTCTACTTCTTAGTCACAGCTTGTGTAGGGAAAACAAAGCCTTGTTGTAGTTAAACGAAGATCATGATTAAAAAGCTTGCTTGTAAATATCTGCGAAAATATTGTTTAGTTTTGTGCAGAAACAACGACTCGATTAACATTTATGCTAAATATATCTTGATCTGTCTCCAGTTATTGACTCTTTAAATATTTACATTTATATTACAAACGTAACTTGATTGTGTGATACAGATATCGTCGTTCAATGTGAGTCTTCAGATGTCTACATTTGCACAAACCTAGCTTAATTATGAAATCCAATTTGCTTTCAATTTGAAGCTAAATGACCAGGATCCGTGTTGTTCGCTTGTTTCACTTTCGTCCATCTAAATGTTCATGACTCATGATGGAGAGTTTAATTCAATTAAATTCAAATTAATTAAATTGAGTGTAATTCAATCAAGCCCAATATATCATCCACATGACTTCCTTTTTAAGGGGAACAGGTGACAATTTATTCATTGTCAAAAGCGAAATGTGGTTTGGAAGTATTCCATCTGAGTGTGGGTGTTTCCGTTTGATGAAAGTTTTTTAAGTCGTGTATTGATACGATCACCTTTAAACTGTCTCGTCGTTATTAATAGATCACTTCACCGAAGCCTTCGGCCTCTTTCGATGACCACCCGTAACAAGTCCGAGTATGAAATTCTTACTGTAATCGACTTCGAATTTCCAAACTGTCTAGGACTCATTTCCCAATACGATGAAAACAATTCGCTTAAACAGGTAATCAGGAAAATGTTTAACCTTCTAGGCTAAATTTGGCTTTGTATTTACAACATCTTTTAGAGGAAACTGTCAAAGACACATACGTAGAAGATAATCTTGAACAACGACTCGAAGTATTGCGTTTTCTTGGGCTCTGAGGATGTTTTCGTGTTCTTTGTAGTGGTATAATATCACCTAGCCTCGTGCATCTTGCCCAATTCTTTGTCAGTGTTTGTGTGCCTCGGGTTGGTTCTCGGCAGGCACCCTAAATAATGCACCGGTATCGCAGAGGTCATGGGTTCACATCCCGTACGGGCCTGAAATTTATTTTTTTCAGGTCCTATTTACAACTACTAGTTTCAGTAGTGTTCTTAGCTGCGAGGATCTTCTAATTTCATCTCTCCACCGCAGTGCAAATACGTGAATTTTCATATATCTAAATTCTTCATCCCTAAATAATTTTATTTGGTATACACTACTGTGTTATTTGTTGTGTAGTGGAGACTAAATATGGTATTTCTGACGATTGAATATGTGAATAAGGCAGAAATACCATATTTAGTCTTCCCTAGATACGACCCCGGAGGGGTTTTTTCTGGCAGGTTTTTTTCTGGCCTCCGTATAACCGTAGTAATGTCCTTGTAAGCGGTTGCCCATCTCTGTTAATTCCGACCTCTTGAAGTTTACATGTTAGTAATGTATAACTATTTTTGAATGTGTAAGGAATTGACTGTATATCAGGATTGTATATGGCATATCAGTCGCGAATGTATTTATGCATACCTCGAGCTATATATGCCTCGGCAGGCTTCCCTAAATAAACTTATTTGGTGTACACTACTGTGTTATTTGTTGTGTAGTGGTGGCTAAATTTGTTAAATTTGATCATCTACAACGACCTTGAATGAAAAAAATAATTTGTTTGCTTCGTTTTCACGTTGTAACAATGCCTTAACGTGTCTAAGGTTCTGCGATATAAACTTTCGAATTATACATTTTTTTTTCACTGATAATGTTAAACTCTGGAATCGACTACGCTACGAATGCATCTTCCGTAAGCACGAAGATATTGCACTTAAAAGTCGATGCATTTGATATCCGCAGTTTAGATAAATATGTTCCGAGACCGAGACGATTTCAACGACGAGCTGTTTCTGACTAAAGAATTGGCAAAGAAGAATGAACACGCGCAGAAAGTTATTAACTTTCCAAATAATCTTGATGCAACAGAATCAACCGCGCAACAGAAATATCATGGTTTCATTTAATGTTTTCTTTTTTTGTTTCTTTTTTACGTCTTAGGTGTCTAACATCACATACTTAGTGTTATTATGCAACAAAACAAAAGTTACTTAACTGCCTTTTTTCCTGGAGAATACTGAATTATTGAATCATATTGCACACGTAAGCCCTATAAACGACATATAATCCTTAGGTATGATTGCCAAGCGTCTTCCAAACAGTAGGCATCGGCCGGAACTACAGCACGATGATGACAATCGTTTGTATCGCTCTCTCTCCCACCATAGTATCCTTACTCAAAGCTTTGTTTATAAACCATCATGCGTGGTGTATAAATTCCGCGTCTGAGTTAATATACTTCCTATCTCTCTGTTCTACTATTTAATAACCTGTTGCTAGGGAGCTGATGCGTTATGATATCACCGTGTTTGCAACAGGCTACCTGATAAAACCCCTTGAGTGTCGCAGTAGCAATAAAATTACTTAAGGATGGATGTCCTATTCTCTCTAAGAACTCTGCTTAAAAATTCCAGACAAATGTAACTCGCTTTCTATTACAATGTTCTCGTGAGTTAATCTACAACTTCCGCATTCTCACTTTATTTATTGCAATGAGCCCCACCCCACTTTTACGACACTTTTTTTTAGCAGAAACATTACATCATGAACCTTTCGAAAGTGAAAATTATTTCAATCCCGTGCAGGAAGCAGTCGAAGCTGTTCTTTAGGCAAGCTCTCGAGCAGATGGCTCGGCAAGCAAAACAGCTTTCTCTTTGCACCTCTACTGCTTGGAGCACTGCTACCGGCTTCAGGTAAGGGTACTTCAACTAAAAGCAAAATGCATGTGTTCATACTATGAGTCTGGAGAAGGGAAACAGCGGTAAGCCACGTGCAGGATTGATTCCGGTGGATTTGGCAGAAAAGAATTTGTTTCCTCTCTGAAACTTGGCTGTCGCGAGGCGAATCTAAGCAGTGTTGCGTTGTTACTTTTTCCGCAATTGGCAGCTTCCTTATGTTAAGATCTAAACTCGATCTTTCTGTTTGCACATCTGATATTTGAAAACTAAGATCAATGGTAGCAACATTGGCTGACAGTTACCATGGTCGGAAAGAAGCTAATAAATATCAAACAAGGAGCTTTTGAAAGTGGAAGTCATGCGTAAATTTTGCTTTACGGGCAGGTTAAGAGTTATTCTCCGCCAGCTGCTCTTTATTCAGGCGAGCTCGGATATGAATAACAAAACGAAAGAGGCCGCATGCACCCGATAGAATCACAAAATAAGATGACTGTAGCTTAAGTGATGACTGCAGCTTTGCAAGTGTTTGCAAAGCTCAGAAATAGTAAAAGGTATCTCCCAGTACAACTTTTCGTCATAAACAATACTCTCATCTAAATATCCAGATTAGAAAATTAAAAAGTAAAACCCTTAGAAAATAAACTTCATAGAAGCACCCTTCAATGAAACTATAGCAGTACTCAAAAGCAAGTGGTCTTTCTTGTTGTCTATGATATAAAATGAAATCTAGTTAACGACGATCTAGGAAATTATTACTTTGATACCCACGGATACTTACACAATTGGAAATTCGAAGTCGGTTACGGTAGGAATTTCATACTCGGACTTGTTACGGGTGGTCATATAACAAATCATTTGCCGCATTCGTTATGGGCATCGAAAGAGGCCGAAGGCTTCGGCGAAGTGATCTATTAATAACGACGAGACAGTTTAAACGTGATCGTATTAATACACGACTTAAAAACTATCATCAAACGGAAACACCCACACTCAGATGGAATACTTCCAAACCACATTTCGCTTTTGACAGTGAATCAACTGTCACCTGTTCCCCTTAAAAGGAAGTCATGTGGATGATAAATTGAGTTTAATTTCCTGAACAGTTAGATGGACGAAAGTGAAACAAGCGAACAACACGGATCCTGGTCATTTAGCTTCAAATTGAACAACATTTGTATTTCACAATTAAGCTAGGTTTGTACAAATGTAGATCTCTGAAGACTCACATCGAACGACGACATCTGTATCACGCAATCAAGTTACGTTTGTAATGTAAATGTAAATATTTAAAGAGTCAATAACTGGAGACAGGTCAAGATATCTTTAGCATAAATGTTAATTGAGTCGTTGTTTCTGCACAAAACTAAACAATATTTTCGCAGATATTTACAAGCAAGCTTTTCAATTAATCATGATCTTCGTTTAACTACAACAAGGCTTAGTTTTCCCTACACAAGCTGTGACTAAGAAGTAGAAAAAGACGTTTAATTGAATGCGAGCAGAATGTTTTGAAAAGTGGAAATGAGTTCAGTTGACCTTTATCATCAAAGTAATTAAAAACCACGTGTAGAAATTTGAATGAACTCAAGTCAAACTGTACTGCTAGTCGCAACAATCGCCAAGGTTCCAAATATTTCACAGTTTATTCAGTCATCTTGTTTACAGGAAAGTATTCGAAATCTATTAACAGATTAGAATTATAGTTGACAAAGGCCAGGATTAATATTCATCAACACGGAATAATAATTACATACCCATTGGTGTCTCTCAAATCTGTGACTAGTAGTATTGGCTTCAACGATCTTATCAATTAATTACGTCAGGCATTGTTACGTAATGTCGCATAAAAACATCACGCATTAATTTCGTGTTAGAACGAAACACAAACCAGTAAAGGCTGTGAGACTTACAAGCAGAATCTAATGGAAATTTAAGAGAACGAAACACGACCGAAACTCTATTCCCTCTCTATTCCCTCCCCGTTTTTAACTCTAGCTCCCATGACTCAGCACAAATGATCTGGGTAAGAAAGTGCAATTGTAAAAGTCTACGGCAATAAAAATAAAAATTTGTCACCCAACAAATGAAAAAGACCTTTGATAAATAATCACCTTTTTGCGCTCTCCTTTTCTCGTCTAATTTCAAAACTTTGTCTGTTTGAAGAGGTTAGTGATCACTGATCATTGCCAACACTTAATCAGTGTTTTGCTCAGCCATTTTAAGTAGTCTTTTCAAGCTAAGTGAACCTTAAAGCCAATCAAGAAAGGAAAACAAATCTTGGCCATAGATAACTGAGATTTCAGCGCTTCCCTGAGTTCTTTAGATTCAAGATCATGGAAGAAAAAGGTAAATTGGTTGCGTTACTATCCTGCGGAGTCCTTTGCGATTCACAAAGCGTTAGAGTCTTTCATAAAGACAGGGGAGAGTCTACCTTACACCACGATGTCCTTTCTTCGCTTAGGAAAGCAATAGGAGCGCAGTTGCTGTCAATTCATGCACTTTTACCTTACTCCTTTTCGCAAAGTGCCTGAAAGGTATGTTGATTATCGCGTAGAATGCTGTTACGACGAAAAATATAGCAACTTCTGTTCGCCGTTGAAACTTTGTGTTATTATCAAGACCTTCTCACCATGCGACTGAGAATGAGTATTGACCCATTGTCATCATTATTTTTCATCATATTTGATTCAAATTTCTTTTATCGGGTGTTAATACTCTAAAGCCCAGTGTTTCGGCGGCCAAGAAGGTTGTGATAGCAAGAAAAGGTTCCAATGTAACCTTGATGCCGCTTTGGAAGGAAGGTTACATCTCTTACAAACTCAGACTCCTGGGAAATCAAAGGACTAGAATTAATAAAAAGTTACAACAGGGTAGAAATTCTTTAGCCAAACTCCTGAAAAATGACTAATTCGTACCACAGTGGCTGACTTCAGTATTACCAAAAGTTTTTTTTAAAAAGCCACAGACTGGGAAATGAATGTATAAGTATATACAAATAGTTTGTGTCCCGCCTTCCTTTGGGGCTATGCGCTCTCATCTCGTCAATCTCAGAGAGCGACTACGAACTGTTCTTGTGTCCATGAAAGTTTTAATTCCGTATTTTTTCTTTAACCTTTTTCTTTAATCAGGTGTTGTTGCTCTGAAGCCCAAGATCTCGGTGGTCGATAAGGCTGTTGTTGCACGAAAAGGTTCCACAGTAAACTTGACATGCTCTGCCACGAGGGTTAGAAAACTTACAACCTCAAGCTCTTGGAAATTCAACGGACCAGAAATAAAGAAAAGAAACAACAAAATAATAATACCAGAGCCACACTATCAGACAAATAAAAGAAAAGGAAACTTTACTTTAACCATCAAGAATGTTTCGGACACAGATGTTGGTACATACACCTGCAAAGTCTCCAAAATACACCTTGACAGGATGCTTGAGGCAAATGAGAATATAGAGCTGTCACTTCAGGAAGAATGTGAGTTTAAACAACATTTTTCTTCTCGTTTACCTTAAAAGGTGCTGCAGTTCATTCTCATTTTTCGTCACTTAGGGGAGAAAGGAGAATAACATCCGGTCTTTATGACAACCAACACATCACAGACATACGTCCCCTACTCCCTGGAAAGTTTCTTGAGTTCCTTCCATCTCTCCATCCCTCCCTGCCTCGTTCTCCAACCCATCCAAGAGAATAGAAATGTGAGAGCCCGTTTAGCGTCTATCTCTTTTTTAACCTTATGAATCGCATACATGTAACGTGAATGATTCAGGCTGAGTTTGAAAAACGCAGAAAGCGTGATGAAACCGTGATGTGTAAAATTGGTGTCTTGTCCATTAGGGTATTCTTCTCAAATCAATGTCACTCTTAATTGGGGCGGGTATCGAAGGCAGGCTCAACTCCATACGTAAACTGCAAGGTTCTCATCTCAGATCTACTTTCATGTGTATCTGAAAGTGCACATAAGTCAATCCATTACCGATACTTTTTTCTTCTAACAGTACTCAACGTCACTTCCACGCAGACAAACATCACCCTCGACGAAGGAAGCACAACAACTCTCAATTGCAGGGTCATCTTTTCAGAAGCTTTCGCTGTGGTCGTGTACAGGCTTTTGAATGGAAAGATAGTCTCTAAACCTGAAGTCTTGCACCAAGAAGTGAATGGCAAGTCCTTGGCAAACAAAGTTAAACGACTCAGCATAAGGCTGGAACTGAAACATGTGACCCTCGCCCAATGTGGAATCTACACATGTGGTGCAAACTCCACCATTGGTTTAAAAACACACGACATAGCTGTGAACATACGTGACACACAAGGTCCAGATTTAAAATTCACACAGAAAATTAAATCCTTTGTTGAAATTGCAAACGGTACAAATGTTACTTTAAGTTGTCTCGGAATTTACCTAGCAGCATTGTTTGATGAGACGTTCTGGCTTTTTAATGGCAGCCAAATAAAAAGTAACAAGCACTTTGAAATAAACAATGGTTTCGTTGACAACAATGAGGGAAATGTTAAAAGGAGACTTCTCAGCTTAACGATATACAATACTGGAGTTGAAGATAGTGGAACTTGCGGACGAAAAACATCAAGGTTTATGTGACATATTTTCTGGGTATGGGTTTCTTTTCGATTCGCTCCTGTTCTTTTGCTGTAATAAAAACAGCGACTCCTTTGCGCAAAGTGTCTGTGAGGAATGTTAATGATTGCGTAGAATGCTGTTACTACGTAAAATATGGCAACTTCTGTTCGCCGTTGAAACTTTGTGTTATTATCACTGAGACCTTCTCACCATGCGACTGAGAATGAGTATTGACCCATTGTCATCATTATTTTTTTTATCATATTTGATTCAAATCTCTTTTATCGGGTATTACTACTCTAAAACCCAGTGTTTTGGCCGCCAACAAGGTTGTGATAGCAAGAAAAGGTTCCAATGTAACCTTGATGCCGCCTTGGAAGGAAGGTTACATCTCTTACAAACTCAGACTCCTGGGAAATCAAAGGACTATAATTAATAAAAAGTTACAACAGGGTAGAAATTCTTTAGCCACACTGCTGAGAAATGACTAATTCGTACCACAGTGGCTGACTTCAGTATTACCAAAAGTTTTTTTAAAAAGCCACAGACTGGGAAATAAATGTATAAGTATACACAAATAATTTGTGTCCCGCCTTCCTTTGAAGCTATGCACTCCCATCTCGTCTATCTCAGAGAGCGACTACGAACTGCTCTTGTGTCCATAAAAGTTTTAATTTCGTATTGTTTCTTTTACCTTTTTCTTAAATCAGGTGTTATTGCTCTGAAGCCCAAGATTTCGGAGGTCGACAAGGCTGTTGTTGCACAAAAAGGTTCCATAGTAACCTTGATGTGCTCTGCCACGAGGGTTAGAAAACTTACAACCTCAAGCTCTTGGAAATTCAACGGACCAGAAATAAAGAAAAGAAACAACAAAATAATAATACCAGAGCCACACTATCAGACAAATAAAAGAAAAGGAAACTTTACTTTAACCATCAAGAATGTTTCGGACACAGATGTTGGTACATACACCTGCAAAGTCTCCAAAATACACCTTGACAGGATGCTTGAGGCAAAGGAGAATATAGAGCTGTCACTTCAGGAAGAATGTGAGTTTAAACAACATTTTTCTTCTCGTTTACCTTAAAAGGTGCTGCAGTTCATTCTCATTTTTTGTCACTTAGGGGAGAAAGGAGAATAACATCCGGTCTTTATGACAACCAACACATCACAAACACACGTCCCTCACGCACTTGTGACGCACTTTTTCAGGCGCTAAACATCTAAAACACTGACGACCTTTTCGCTCTCACGAATTTAAAGCTAAATGTGCAACATCAATAAAAGAGTTTTCCTAAAGCTGGGGTGAACTGAACTGAAAAGACCAGTAGATGTCATTTACTCAAGGAGGAAGGCCATAAAGTGAAATTCAACAGAATAAATCCTATTTTAAGGACAATGACGTATTATTTTATTAATTTCTGTATCATTTCCAGTATAATTTAGATAAGTTAAATTTTATTAAGTTAAGTATAAAATTGACCCGACGAGTAAAACGAGTAAAAATGATTTAAAATAAATACTGCTTAAAATTTAATTTTTAAAATTATCTGTCACAAATCTCAGCATTAATCTGTAGTAATCCAGTCTTTACACGCAATTCGTGCAATCTTTGCTATTTGAAACACATCGATTAGTAAAACGGGGTGTTTGCTGACAGTGCAAGTATAATCTTTTACGTTAATCATAGATTAATCTGCAGTGGGTGAAAAAAGAGCAACGACACACGATCGCCGAAACTAGAGAATTGCTTTAAATACCCATATGATCCAAGCGTCGAAAAAAGGGGAGCCTCCCGGACAATTGATGAAGCTTTTGTTACTTAAATGTTTGAGAGTATGAAAGTGCAACAAAAATATATCAATGAAAATTCAGCAAGTTAGCCGACCCTTAAGATGAAGATTTCATTCCCAAAGAGCAACGCATGCCTTTTTTTTCATTGTTTTTCGTAATAGCAGTAATGTATTTTGACGTCCTTCGTAATAAAAGACGCTGGTACCTCTCCATTGTATGAATTTTTGTGTTCTCGGTCTTCACAGTCCCAGAATAACCACTCTCCTGTAACACGCATGCTCAAAACTACCTGGCAACGGCTTGAGTGCCTAAGGAGGAAAAACGGCTCGTGTTGCCTGTTGTCGTTTTTCGTGTCCTCGTCGTCCCATTTGATCTCTCCTTCTTGAAATCCTGTCGCACACAAGAAAATACTACCTTGAATCTCGTTACTCGGTTGTAAATATTTTCATTGTCTAATCTTAATATTCATATTCATATTCATATTCATATCGTTCGTCCCATTTTTTGGGCCTAGTTCTGCCATTGGGCTTTTGCCTTTGGCGTTTTTGCTTCTTTTCCCGTCAGTTTAAGGTCAGGATTTCCTGGCCTTTTACTGTTTTTGTGTGTCACCCATCCCATTTTTAGGGCTGGGTTCGGCCCTTTGGGGTGTGGTTTTTAGGGGTTTTTTGCCCCTTTTTCTTGGTTTATAGTGTGCCAGGATTTCCTGGTTTTGCTGGTGGTTTTGGTTTGCTGCCTGAACTATCTACACTAGTATCTAGTTGCCCTCTCAATTCCATAGTGATTTGGGGGCGCGGCCCTTTGGGCCATCCATTTGGGTTCCTTTTGGGCCCCTCTTCCTTGTTGTTTTTTATTTCCTTTTGACTTCGGTATGGTGTTCCTTTGTGCGAACACTTGCGTGGTGCACGCTCCGGCGGCCATTGTCGCTCAGGAGAGGTCACATGTACTCTTGTTACTTGAAGAGGTGGTGGATTTCGGCAAGTTGTCTACCGTCCAGTTCGTCCCCAGGGGTCTTATCCGGCTTACGTTTAAGGACACTGCGGATAAAGATCGTTTAGTTAATCAGGGGTCGGTTATGTTAGACAATGTTGAATGTAGTGTCACCCCCTCAGACCGGCCTATCACCTTGGTGTATGTATACCATTATCCGGCTGAGGGGGATGATGCCCTCCTATGTGAGGAATTCCGCCGTTATGGGAAAATAGTGTCCGTTAAGCACCAGCATTTTTCCGGTAGACCTAATCTCCTAACGGAGTCTCGTATATTGACAATGTCCCTGTCCAAAACAATTCCGGCCGAAGTATTTGTTGATGCGTACCCCACCCGTGTCTGGTACAGTGGCATGCAGCCATTTTGCCAAATATGCAAGACTAGGGGGCATAAAGCCGCCGACTGTGAATACAACGGAAAATGCAGAGAATGTGGTGCTGCTGACCATCTGGCTCGTGCTTGCCCGTCCCGCCGGGGTGGGCGTGTTTGGGGAACTGATTCTGTTCCGGCCGGTGCTGCTCCCCCGGTAGATGCCGAGTCTTTCCCTCCCATTGTGGCTCCTCCCATTGTGGCCAAGGTCGAGGTGACCCCTGGTCCCTCGGGCGTTCTTCCCGTGGATACGGGGAATGTCGGTCACTCCGAAACTGTTTTGGCAGTAAATAGTATGGATGTTAGTGATGTTCTTAATGTAATTGCTGAAAATAGCCATGTTACTACTGTGGCACCTCCCATTGTGTCCGAGGTCGAGGTGACCCCTGGTCTATCGGGCGTTTCTCTCCTGTGCGCGGATGATAGTATGGATGTTGGTGTTGTTGAAAATGTAACTGTAGAAAATAGTAATGTCAGTATTGAAAATGCAATTGTAGACAATAATAATACTAGTACTGAAAATGTAATTAAAACTAATGATAGTGATTCGGTTTGCAACCGTTAAAGATAATGTAGTAAGTGAAAATGTTAATTCTAGTACCCAAATTACCCAAGAAATTAGTGAATTGCTTAGGGTTAGGGTTAGGAGTCTGGGGGTATGGAGTGTTGCGACTCCCCAGATATTTCGAGCTTCTCTTCCTCTGCCGAAGCATCTGATTCCCTTGACCATTTTCTGTCGGTCACCCGTAAGCGCTCTGGAAAGGCGCCGAAGCGAGCGATAATTCCATCCGCCGCCGTGGCTGCGGCGTCCATCGTGAAGTGGTCTAAGGCGGTCCCTGGGGCGGGTATCCAGAAAAAGAAGGGGAAGTAGTCCTCCTCTTTTCTTTCCCAGATGATTTCCCTTATTAGTTTATACATGGCTCTGTCTATCTTTACACTAAATTGCAATGGCATCAGGGACCCGTCCAAGAGGTCGGGTCTCTTTCATTGGGTTCGTTCTCTTCCCGTGAAGCCTGATATTATCTGCCCCCAAGAGGTACATTGTTCCTCGGTGCAGGAGTGCTCTTCGTGGTTTCTGTCCTATATATGGGTTCGGTGTTGCGTGTTCCCCGGGTTCTGTGCGTTCCTCTGGTTGTTTTATTCTCTTTCGCCCCTCCTTGTCTCTATCGAGCTCTTGGTGCGACACGGAGGAGCGTTATCTTCAGTGTGAGTTTTCTTTTCGGGATCAGTCCTTTCGTGTTTACTGTTTGTATGTTCCAAATCGTAATCCTGCCCGGATTCAATTCCTTGATGATCTTCATGCGAAAATCGACCCTTCTGTTCCCTCTCTGCTGTGTGGAGACTCTAACACGGTTTTCGACAGAGCTTTGGATAGGCGAGGCTTAGATCCGTCTGACTCATCTCGCGAGAGTACTTCTGCCCTTCGTGGCCTCTTCGACGCGTGTTGTGTTGTTGACATTTTCAGGTATCTGCACCCGTCGACGCCCGGGTTCACGTGGACCAAGTGGAATGGTGCCCTCGCTTTGCGCATCGACTTTGTCGGCATTCTTTTTCTGTGAGTCTCCTCCGTCTCGGCCTCCTCTGTGGTGCCCTGTCCTTTTTCAGACCATTGCGGGGTCCAGGTCTCTGTCGCGGTCCCTGATATCATTCCCCCTGGTCCAGGTCTGTGGAAACTCAATACCGCCATCTTGAAAGACGATGAGTACGTCCGTCTGGCTTCCGACCTCTGGCAGGCCTGGCGCGGTTCCATGAATAATTTTTCCACTATAGCAAAGTGGTAGGACGTGGGAAAAAGTCACCCTAAAGGATTATCGATTAGATACTGTAAAGATAGGTCTGCAGTGGGGCCCACAATAGGTCCCTGCTGGTCG